ATTTATAAATAGGTCCTATAATAATGATTTTCAGCTGCGTTAGTTGTTGGAGGTAAGGTAGCTAAATCAAAATTTTTACTATAAGTACCTGACGAGATGTAAGGGCTTTATATTTAAAATACCTCAACTGATCTAAATCTTTTGCTAGCCTATGTCGACCATATAATGAAAATAAATAATAATGATAAAAAATGGATGTAATTTGTCGCAGATGAGGATTTTTTTGCAACGTTTTGAAAGTCGCCAGTTTACATTACATTTGATTTTTTTCTTCCAACCTGGTGGCTAATTTTTCAAACTGTCACTGTATTTTTAAAAACAAGTTGTTTACAAAATGGTAACAATAAGACCTTGGTTTAAGCGCAAATAGCCCCGACCGGGACAAGGTGGAGACTGCTTTCGCACATTATTAGTACACATGTATTTAGTAAAGGATAACTTTTACAATTTTTGTTAATTTTGAAATATTATTAACCCACCAATAAAAAATATTTCTTGAAAATGTTACAAGGATTGTATTTCAGTTGAATTGATGCTAAATATCCATGTTATTTGTTAATAAGCTTAAAAAATTAGTACATTGCATTTCGGTGATTCCTTTTAAAAATTGCTCGCGCGATTTTCAAAATTTTTTGTACGTCATTACGTTAGGATAATAAACTATTTTTTATCGATTCTAATAGAGTTTTTTATTCTCTTTAATTTTTACCTCTTGAAGTTTTTCGCTATAACAAACCGTTTTCGAGTTATTTACATTTTTTCCTAAAAAGTATACCAAAATTCAAGATGGCGGCCGATTTTTTTTGATGACGCACACATCGGACAAATGGGGACTTTTAGTATGTTAATAAGGGTTACTAAGGCTAACTATTTTCAGTGGTCGCAGCTTTCTAAAAGTTTTTGCAATTTCAACATGGTGAATGTCATAACTGCACTGGGGTAATAGGACTGCTCATTCAACCAAATGTCCGCCAGGTGCATGCGAAAACTCCTCGCTTTGTGACGTCATTGTAGTCCTTGTCATGGTTATTAGCAATTAATTAGTCCTTATCCGGCAACCAATAATACACACACGTGCATTATTGGTTGCCGGATGCTAAACGATCATTATTTAGTTTATTTATTTAAACACCTTATATGTATGCAGTATAGAAAATTAACTGTATAAATCGTATTAATTACTCGGATAATGCATTTTTAAGACCAGCAGTTACCGGCATCACCTTTTGCAGGCATTCTTTTTAAAGCACTTCCATATTTTGCTTGCAAATAATTAATAAACAATATCGTGGGCACTTAGTAAGCACTTTGTCTCAATCCACAACACAAAATGAACGTATTTACACACTCTATAACTCTAAAAACTTTAAAGACACCTTTTTCGCATTTAAAATTGACAAAATAATTAACTCAAAATTTCTCAGCTGTTATTTTTAAAAGTTTACCATAGGCAACTAATAATACACACTATCATGACAAGGACTACAATGACGTCACAACTGTCAGCTGAAGCGCGGGAAGAGGCGAACGGCTTATTAGTTTACCGTTCTTGTCGTCGCATCACATTTTTTTGCGATTTGACCCTGAAATAAACGAATTAACTTGATTTTAATTTTTTAAACAAAAACTATGTGCCGAACGAAAAAAATCAAGAGACAAAAAATGTTTAGAAATGAATGGAGATTTTGAAAATAATTTTTATTTTAAGAGAAGTCAGTGGTGTACCACTTTTTTCTCTAAAAATATTCAATGTAAAATCCGTATGGACGACACTGGTTGAAATAAATAAAATTCTTTGTACACAAAAAATTGTATTTTGATGAATAGAAGACGTGTATCAAATTTCATAAAGATACCTGCAATAAAATCAGAGTTATTATGAAAAAAAGTTTTTTTTAGAAAAATTTACCACCCAGTCAGAAATTTAGATGTTTAGGACATACATTCAGATTATGAAGTTTTTTTCTTAGAATAGGTCCAAGGATCACGCCCTTAAAAATTAACATGTCATGAAGGAACACCCTGTACATTTTAAAAATCTTTGAGAAATTATTGAATCAGTTATGGATAGATAAAAGGTAATGATACAAATTATAAATAGTTTGTATACAGGGTGGTTCAGATTTTACTAGAATAACTTCAGGTATCTCGATAGAACTAACGGAAATAATGATAGTTTTTATTATAAACCATACTCCAAAAACGCTTCCGCTTGGAGTAAAATGGCGCCAAAGTTTGAATTATTTTTCGGTTTTTATTTTGTTACTCGTGGGGCAACGTGGCTGATATGTGTGGAAAAAAAATGGGTGTTGTTTCTGTGAGTGTCAACTGCACGGAACCTTGTAGAACTTTTTTGTCGCACGCAACTGGATAAATTTCTATTTTTTTCTGATGTACCTTCCGTCTTTTTACTAACTTTTCTTGTTCTTAATTTTTTTTTATATGTCGCGTAGTTTTCGAGATATTCCACAAAATTCCGGACATAGCTCAGCTGCGTTCGAAAATTGTTACTTAATTAGCAGCATGTCTTGGAGAACTTAATTCAAATTTTGGCGCCATTTTACTCCAAGCGGAAGCGTTTTTGAAGTATGGTCAAAGAGTAGATAAGACAAGAGACGACAGTGAACAAAGAAGTCGAATTTCGCGAGAGAGACGCAGATATATTAAAATTTAAAGGTCCCGTCAAGTCCCATTTTGTCTGTTGCCAAGTATATTTCTTTGAAAAATAAACAAGATTTTCTGAAAATAAATTAATAATATAAGAAGGATATAAGTAACGTATGTTAATACGGAAATGTAAATTTTTAGTTTAGGTTGGTTTAGGTTCTTTTTTCGCAATGTACTGATAATATCAAAGAAACAGAATGACTAAGTTGATCGATTTCAAAGATAAACAGATAAAATCTCAAAATCTGACAACGGCGTATTTTATTTAATCTAACCTATGATTTTAGGACGCTAATCAGCTTTGCTAAACAGGCTTAAACATAAACAAATCTGATTAGTTGTTTTCTTGCATTTCTGCCTTTTTAAAGTGTGTTTTAAGAGTTTTTCGATATATTATCGTTTTGAGAGTTTTTAAGGTTTAATTTTAGTATCGTTTTTGTTGCGTACCAATTTGTAATTATTGTTAAATATGAATACTGAACAGGACACGAGTAGAGCAGGAAAAGACGAGATGGTGGCAATGTGTGTGCTTATAAAGACTGCAAAAATAGGTCTTATTTTTCGACAAACATAATATTTCACTCTTTTCCAAAGGATCCTGAAAAGTATTTTTATAGAAATATACTATATAATTATGTTATTAAACTAAATGTAATCCATAGATCAAAGACATGGTTAGAAGCTTGTAATATATGTTTACAAAAAAATTGAGCAACTCTATTTTTTTGTACATAAACTCCACATTGTGATATTACACTTGTTCAAGTCCATATGTAAAAAAAATACAAGTAAATAAAACATTTTTTACAAATCGACTTGGTCACTTTATCTTGTTTACCAACGATATACAAAATATTACTTTTATTATCTTTATTCCCCGACAAACATGTTTCTAATTATAATGTATTTTATATAATATTTAGAAAACTCATTTTTTTTTCGTTTCTATTTATTTCTTTACCCATACAGTAACTATTTATAAGCTATACAGGTAAGTTTTAATAATAGTCTATTTCAAATTTCCCGCGAAAAAATTACGAAAATTTAAAGGGACAAGCGAGACGAGGTCACTCTCCCCACCACTCAAACATGAAAGGTACCGCGCGAACTGTCGTCTCTTGTCTTATCTACTCTTTGGTATGGTTTATAATACAAACTCTCATTATTTCGGTTCGTTCTATCGATAATAATAATAGCTCCCGTATATAGCATTCAACGCCTTGGGAGTAGTTAATTGTTACCTCAGGATTGTGAATCCCAAGTACTCATTTAAGGCCGAGTCGACCTAGGTACCCAAACTATTTTTATTTTAATAAAAATAGTCGGCTGATGCAATGCCGGGTGTGGGAATCGAACCCACTACCTTGAGATTGGTAGACGAGAGCCTGTACCTCTACGCCACCGGGCACCTATCGTTCTATCGATACCTGAAGTTATTCTAGTAAAATCTGAATCACCCTGTATATTTTTCTAAATTTTCTTTGTCATTTAAATGTCCTAAAAATATTTTATTTATTATTTATACTCCCTATACTCTATACCAGAGAGAACACTAATAACTAAAGTGAGAGAGACCGATCAACGTTAATTTTTGAAGACTGTGTTGAAACTATGAGCGCATTATCGATATAGTAGGTTGTATTCATACCTATATACTGGCGCCAAAAATTTAAAATTTGTATATTTGAACCAAATCTTAATCTTTCAAGTTTATAATAAGAAATCTTCGTAGTTTTTTTAGATTATTTTGTTGACAACGAAAATTTATTATTAGACTTTAAAGCATTAAAACCTATAAATAAAATACTGTGTAGGAACATAATAATTTATTTAACTCCAGACTCCTTGCCATACTCCAACTCAAGGCTGCAATCTTCAGTATCTTTTTTATCTAACTTGGTTGGGAGTGAACAGGGAAGCACGGTTGGGAGCTCGCACAGAGTATCATTAGGTACCCCGTAGGTATTCAATGTTTTTGATAGTCTTTATTCTATAACAAGAACCTAGCAGTTGAAGAAAATAATTTGTATTACTGGAAATAATACCAGGTATAATACCTTGTCGTTCCATAGGTATCAGAAAAGAATGTGATGTTTTAATTTAAAAAAATTAAATTAGCAATGTACGATTATTATGTGCACAAACTATTACTATTAGGTATGTTAAAATAATTACCGAGATAAAACTTACCTTTAAAGGAAACGTTTTGTCTAGGTCTCAACCACAAAACAAAAATTACAAAAATGCCGAATAATCGTGGAATCTGAAATAATCTTGAAATAATCAATAATGACAATAATCTTCTCTTCTGACAAGCTAAAAGAACAGGCACATTCAGTCAAAAACAATTTATTACTCCGATTTGCTCCGATTATCAACAGATTTTAGTTATCTCCTTCTAGAACTAAGAAATAGAAAAAGCTACTGACAATCTAATTAATCCTGTCAAATGTTTAACTTGCAAAGTTGGAAACTTCCTTTTTTGCCTAAACGCTCTGCGCGTCTGGGATGCGCGGTGAAATGAACTTGTCTACGAAATGCCCTATTCCACAAGCCCTTTCACTTTAGTTATTAGTTTCTCTCTGCTCTATACCAAATTGTATTAGTTTAGGATTTCCTGATATACATACCTACTTTAAATATAAAACATAAGTTAAATAACTAGGGTAAAGAAACTGTGATATATGTATTAGTTTCAAAAACAGGACTGTCTTATTTAGTGTGTACCTATATAAAGTAAAATAAATTATTTATAAGAAAGTTTGTATTTTTTACATTTCGTTGGATCAATTCTATTACGTAGTCTGAATATAATTTTAAATTAGGTATCTAACCTGCGCGTTTTACCCCTATCCACTAGACCATGCAAAGGTTTTTCATATTGATTATTTTCGTAATTCAGTTCAGTTTTTGGTTTGTTGTAAGTCGGAATGACATACATACATATTTTGTCAAAATACACGTCAACAAATCGATTTCTTGTTTTTAAGTAAGGTGTTTTAAGTTTTTTTTTTAAGTTTATATGTCTACGAGAAAGGTAAGTTATATTTTAGATAACAATCTCTTGGATACAATTTAAATGGCAGGCCTCGCATATGTCCATAGGATATGTCGTTATGTATATTTTTATTTTTGATACATACTTTAAATTATATCTAAATTATTACAAATTGAGATAATAAATTAATATAACTGAAATAATAATAAAGAAATATGATGGCTAATAATAACTGTCTAATACGTAAGAAACATAAACATGGTATAAACTTGTATAAACTTTAAATTGTATACATCATCGGTGGGAACATAGGAAATCCCATGCAAATTTTAGACTGTCCAAATATTGGCTCTCTTGTTACTTCTACAGCAAAGTCGTAAATAATTTTTTAAAAGTCTGTGTATGGCTGTGCCAAATTTGAACAATTTTGGACAAGCCGATTTTAATTAATTTAACAAAAACTGCATTTATTTTCAAATTAAAATTGAACAGATAACAATAATGCACAACCAGCAAAAATTCTACATATCTTAATGATTTTATCATTGTTAAATGTAATTTGTTGTACTCATTGATAAAGGAAACAAGGTTATATTTTTATATACACCACCCGGTGTATGTGTATTTTGTACTTATTGTGATAACATTAAAATTTCTAATATTAAAATGAACTATGTATACCGGGTGCGTCTAAAAAGTGCCTCACACCTATAACTTTTTTATTTTTTCAGATAAAAAAACGAGGTTTGGTATGTTGGTATATGACATAAATTAGGATTGATTGACGTATTCAATTTTTTTTTGGTCACTTCCTGTTTCACCGGAAATGACTACAACTTTTGATATTTAAATGGCACCCTCAGTATTCTTTACTTTATTCGATAGCAAATGACATTCTGAATAGAATGACATATTATATGTCAACTTTTGATTCTCGCTTAAAACTAAATTAAATTTTAAATTTGGATCTAGAGTGCCATGGCTCTGTTAAAAACACTAATTTTTAATCAAGGAGTCTTGGAAAGATATATATTTGATCGTGTAATGTTTTTACTGTCTTGTCTTGGCCATTAAAAAATGCCCAAATCATATTTGTAATCATATCTCAATTTTTTCAAATGGAACGAGGGTGGCTCATTAGCATATTTGGAAAAGGCATTTTTAAACGAATAATTTGGTACCACACTTGGTATTCTCGTTATGAACCGCATGTTACAATTTGAAATAAACGAATATTATAATGGAATATGCGAAAATGTCAAAAGTTGACATATGATATGTCATTCTATTCAGAATGTCATTTTCTATCGAATAAAGTAAAAACATACCTTTGAATAAGAAGACTAAGGAAGGAGCATATCAAAAATCTTAGGTACACCGCGATGGGCCTCAAATATGGCCGACTTAAATTCCGGTTTATCAGTGTCGTTCTAATTTTATTTATAAAATGTAAAACTATGATGTAAGGTAGACGTGGGGTAGACTCAATAATTTGTTGTTTTATTTTACGTTGTGAAATAAATGTTGGTAGTTATTAAAATTGTTATAAAAATATAAAATTCTAATAAAAATAGATAAGTTATAATAAGTATTTATTAACACAAACATCCGATACGCTACTGAAACAGGTAAGTCAAATTAACGTATCTAAATTCTTTGACATCTAATCTTTGACAAGTAATAAATAAAAGCTAAAAATGCAAGAAAAATATATAATTTAGTTAATTTAAGTGAATTTCATAAATGATCGGTTTACTACACGTATATATATTATATAGTCACTTACTAGCGAAAAGTTGTTCCATCATTTCACTCAATTTTTGCCGAGATCTACCGCACGCTACACAACCAACTATTTAGAGTCTTTTTCGATAAATCGCGATAGTGTCACTGTTAATTTAAGTTCTGCCACAATTTCCATCTAGATTTACTACCTTTATACAACTATCAGTAGTAGAATAAATAATAAATAACATAAAATAAGCTCCGTAAAGACTGACAAATTCACAAAATTTCAAATCAAATTCAGATGTGTCAAATGAATCGTTAAACAGAACTGTCAAGGATCCCCACCCTAGAGAGCTTTTATGGTGGCTTTTCCGCCCACCATGCATGAATACATGGATAGCATTATGCTCCTTCCTTAGTCTTCTTATTCAAAGAAACATACCGACGGTCCCATTTAAAAATCAAAAGTTGTAGTCATTTCCGGTGAAAGAGGAAATGACCAACAACAATTGAATACGTCAACCAATCCTAATTTATGTCGTATACTAACATACCAAATTTCTTTTTTTTATTTGAAAAAATAAAAAAGTTATAGGGGGTGAGCCACTTTTAAGACGCACCCGGTATAGGTATTTCTCATAAGTGCTCTGTAATATGATCAAATCATGACAAAGCAATCATTGTATTCAATCAACATTGAAAATTTCTAATAAGCATTTATATGCTTAAAGAGTATATTTTTTTTCTAAATAAGTCTGAATATAATTCCTTAATCATTGGCAATATCAAGTTTGCATAATGATATATAACCTTTATAAACATACATAATAGTTTAAAAAATATGCGTGTGTAACTAATATTAAATCTTTTAGTTATTTTAATTATTAGTCTTCTAAGAACTTCTTTTTTTAAATCTAAGAATTTATTGCCATAAGTAAATATATTAATATTTATTTATTTCTAATTATAAAAACCTAGTTAATTATAAAAACCTACTTAATTAGTAATCCACTGTAAACTGTAACTAATTTCTTAATAAATTCTGTAATTAAATACAAATTAACTTAGACAGCACAAATAAACATCGCATACATATTATGATCAAGCGTGCTTTGATAATGACAGAAAAAATTATTATGACAAATTCCATACAAGTTTTTGTAACTGTCAAAGTCTCAGCATAAAACCCTTTCATCACGTGAAAATTTCTTGGTTTGTTATTTTGACGATACTTGTGTTGCTATATAGTCTGTTCAAGGAGAGGATCAGTGATAGTGACAGACACGTATGTCATTTTAATTCACGAGTTAATTGTATGTTCTATCATTTTTTTGGATATCATATGTTGAAACCTTTTCGAAAGTGTTCTTATAACTTTTTAATTTTTTCATATAAAAAAACCAAATTTGGTACATTAGTATATGACATAAATCAGGGATTCATTGACGTATTCAATAATTGTTTTCAGTCACATCCTGTTTTACCGGAAATCACTACAACTTTTGATTTTTGAAATGACCCCGTCGGTATTTCTTTACTTTATTTGATAGAAAATTACACTCATAGATAAATGAAACAAGTTTAGATTGGAAAGTGCCCATAAGGACAATGTAAACACTATTTGGCGCTGTTCTTGCAACGGTCGCGACCCAAATCTTTTGAAAATATCGGAGCGGTTCGGCTTTTTCCGGAATTATATCGCCATATATTGTTTATTCAAATTTATTATTATTTTCGTTTAATTTTATAAATAAAATACAGTGTGTTGCATACAAGAAACTTTATTTTATATAAGGACGCATGTATGAAATACCTATGAAACATTGGAAACCGACGTTATGCCATGATCCACGATAGTTTTTGCTGTTCACAGTTCACAGTTCACAGCACAGCTTTTTAAGTTTTAATGCCACTTTTTCACAATTATCACCGGTTGGAGTAAATAAAACTTGAATTAAACTCACAAGATAGCAATAATTACTTTGAAAATGAACGCTATAAACACTTTTCGGAATTTCTTTAATGAGAGCGGTTTAGATTTTGAAAGATTATTATGACTTTTGAAGATTCTGACTTTGACAAGAGAAAATTATTTCTGTTTGTGTTTGCCGTTGTTCTTAGCGACCGCTATAGCAGCGCCAGATCGCGTATAACGGTCGCGACCCAAAATAATTTCGCGACCTAAAATTTTTACGGGCTTTCCAATCTAAACTTGTTGCATTTATCTATGATTACACTCTGAATAGAATGACATATCATATGTCAACTTTTGACATTTTCACATATCGAATAACGACAATTTGACTCGAAATACCTAAACTAACTAAAAATAAGTTTGTGATACCAAATTATTTCTAAAAAAATGCATTTTTTAAATATGGTAATGAGCCACCTTCGTTCCATTTCAAAAAAACTGAGCTATGAATACGTCAATGAATCCTAATTTATGTCAAATACTAACATACCAAATCTCGGTTTTTTATCTGAAAAAAAACAAAACAGTTATTGGGGTGTGTGACCACCTTTTGAGAAACATTCGATATAGATAGCATAAAATATTATTCATTATATTTTATTAAACAATTTTTTAGGATGTTTCAAAAAAATCGACTACAATACAAAAGAAAAGAACATCAGATAAAAATCTATCTAATAAAGAGAGCCCTGAAGAAGTTACTAATAAAACTAAAGAATTACAAAAGAAAAGCATATACAAGAAAAGTACGGAAGAAAAACTTATTAGTTCATCGAAAACCAGTTCAGAGTCCAAATCTAAAGCTAGCATCCGTACACCGAGAAGCAGTGTTACAAATTTAAAAGACAAAACCAAATCAAATAATCGAGATGTGCCTCTAACTCCTCCAAGTACCAGAGTAAAGAAAACTCAATATTTTCCTACGAAAAATTTATATTCGAATGCTCTAAAAACTATTCAGGATGTTCAATCTAAGCCATTAAGTGAAAGTGCTTCAAAAAGTAACAGCTCTACAAATATTAGAAATAAAAAGGAACCAGATAGAATAGCTGCGAAGTTAATAAATAATAGTGATAGAAATAAAAGTAGAGATAGTTTTAGAGCGAAGCTTGAATCTAGCAAAATAAATAATAGTAAAAGTAAAAAGCTTATATCCGAAAACTCTAAAGAATTAAACATAGTTACGCCAAAGGCGATAACAAGAAACTCATCTCCCGAATCTAGTTCTATGTCTGAGAGACCACGAACAGCGACTTTGAGGAAAGGAAGTATAGTGAATTCAAATATCGTAGGTCCTGAAGCTCCAATTGCAGTTAAAACTATATCTAAAAAGGATAAAATTAAACAAACTGCTGTGGAAGTAGAAGAACGATTACCAAGTCTTTCTGTTTCAAGCAGTGAAAATTACGAGGATGATTTTGAATCTTACGAATCGGATTTTGAAGCATACTCTTCAAGCGAGAATTCTAGTTTTTTGGGAATTGCTTCAAAAGCCGAAACAAGTTCTATGAGTAGCAGTGCTGCAGATTTATCGGATAGTAATGAGAATTTTTTAACTACCTATACAGATACTAAAAGATCATCTTCTGCGGGAACTGACGATGAAAGAAAATTAGATTCGGGTACGTTCGAGTTACCCGAATTTAAGCATAGACAGATCTTAGAACATATTAAAGAAAATATAGAGAAGGGAATCTCCTAATTTGGTGAACGATCGTGTTAAAGAAAAGACCAATCTACCATCTCTTCCCGATGAAGGGTTTGAAGAACAGAAATCACTCCAGTTTATTAATTTCGCTGATGCAAAAAAGCGATATGATCGAAGAAAGGCTAGTATAGTTCGAAAAAAGAGAGGTGAAGAGATACTAAATATGATCAAACTCAATACAGTTAATTTTACATTACTTGACTTAGTGGCAGTGCCTTATGATGAGTTTATAAAAACTTACGGAAGAAGTAATACTGTTCAGACTTCGTCACAAACAGGAGATGACAATATATCTGAAGAAACACAAACTGTTACTGTATTATTGGAAACAAAATGGACTCAAATGCCTGTTATTTTTTCAACTTTTGACACAAACAGGGAACATTTTTGGAGGAATTACAGAGACGAATTTTTAGGTGTAGGTTACGACAATAACGAAATAATAAAATGTGAAGATAAAATAATACGAAGTTATAACGAAAGTCGTTTAAATTTATTTTTTAACAAAGCAGCTGATGTGGTATCCGAACTTTTAATGGAAGAAAACATGAAAAGTTTGGAAAATGTTCTTAAAAATCAACGTGAATTGCCATTTAGTGATGGTTATATAGAATTTAATACGTCTGAAAAAGTACTGGAAGACACTAGGCTTGTAAATATGTCGATTTTTAACAGTAACGTAAGAAAAATATTAACTGTTCATTTGAAAACAAAAAATAGAGATAATTTGAAATCAATAATATGCATCTGGGATTTATCAGATGTGGATGAGCCAAAAACAATTTTGAATTCCTACGGAGAGATTTCATGTGCCATATTTTCTACGTTAGATTGCAGTTACATATTTGCAGGACAAAGAGATGGGTAATTTATAAATATTTCTTTTTTTTATAAATATACAGGGTGGTGCCCTCTACAAGCAGGAGTCATATTGACATCAAAATTAAATTTCTCAAGTGAAAAAACTCGCAGACACCAATTTTAATCCAAATATTGACTTTCCTTCAGAAATTATTTGGAAAAAATCAAACTTCTACACCCTATGTATCTCCAAAACAAAACATTTATTAACTTTTTTACTTATTTTTGTTTTATTTCCGGAATACAGTTCGGACCACCCTGTATATTATCTAAAACTTAAATAGTTAAATTGAGAATCATATCCAAATGAGTAATGTAAATAAAAAAGGATAATTTACATAATTTTTTTTTTCAGAACTGTATTAATTTGGGATACCAAAGAAAGAAATAGATTCAGCAAAATGTTAAGTGGAACTCCAACATTTACTACCACTATTGGATCAAGTCATTTATCCAAAGTAGTTACAATATACTGCATTGATACCAACGATAAAAGTAAAATTGGTTCTAACTCAAGTCAATCAAACGAAGTAAGTATATTTAAAATATTTAATCTTTATTTTTTCCTACGATAAAATTTGATATTAGAATGATATTAGTAAATTCTATGCATTTTTATAGGTGTGTAGTTTGGCCGAAGAAGGCGACCTTATAATCTGGAATTTATATATCGATGTAGATAATAAAAGATCTAGGAACGACGTTAGCCTAATTAAAATAATTGCTATAAATTTGCAAGATCAATATCCAGAGTTGCCGGATATGCTATGTACGGACCTACTAATACAGAATGGATATGCATACATTTCCACAAATTATGGATTCGTTTTGCATTGCGCGCTTGATGAAGTCAAGCATAATGTACAGAAATACTCTAATGGTCAGTAAAGTTATTGATAGATGCACATGGTTTAAAAAATGTTTCGAAATTATTGCACAGGGTGTTTTAAACTTAGGATAAAAAATAACCCTTCAATTAACCATATACAGTTTGATAAAAAATTCGTGAAAATAGGGCTAAAAGTAAAAAAGGGAAAAACTAAAAAAAACACGTACACTTCAGCTAAACTTTAAGGTTTAGCTGAAAAAGCTCACACAAATATGTGTATTTATTAACTTCTCTAACATATTCTCTCTTTTAGATTCAAAATCGACAGCTATTTGTCTAGAAGCCTGCCCATTCTCCTCATCTTATTTTCTGACTGGTTGTGACAATGGAAGTGTAGCCTTACATTCGAAAATGTCAGAAAAACCATTGATGGTTTTGAGAAACAGCGACGAACTTGATAATATTAGTATACAAATTGTAAGATGGTCAACGTCTATGCCTTTTATATTGTATGCAAAGGATTCGAAAAACACTGTACATATTTGGAACCTTGGTAAAAGTGATATGTTTCCCGAATATTCTATTCCTTTTAAAGATGATATTAGTTGTTTGAAGTTGTCACCTGTTGTGGATATCGAGTCTCGAAGTCTTTCATATATGGTAAGTTATGATAGATGTTTTTTTTTCTCTAATACAGGGTGAGTTTCCTACGATGCTCTCTATGGGTATCTCGGAAACTACTGGAGATAGACAGTCGGTTAAATGGGGAAAGAATTGCGGTTTTGTGGGGTCATAAATATGCGCCTTTCAGATTTTTGAAAAAGTTCATGGCTTACTAGATATCTCGAAAAAAACAAATTTCGGCTATTTTAAAAATTGTCCCCAATTCCATTAGAATCTATTTTAGACAAAAAGTTTTTAGATAAAAGTTGTAGTTAATCACCTCCTTCCTATTATACCTGTCCTATTTTTCTGCATAATTAAAACATTTTGTTTTAGATAATTGGTACCAGTGAAGGAAAGATACATTTACACATATTAAACAAAGAGTATAGTCAGCAAGATTTTAACACCAATAAAGAAAATATGAAGATATTTTTTAATTATGTCAATCGTTTATGAAAAATTATCCATGTTTTTTCTAAGTAAAACTTCAAGAAGATTGTATCATCGATACTTGAAATATGAGAATATTTTTGAATTTTGTAAATCGCTTAAAGTAAACCCATAAAAATATTATATAAGTTAAAATTAAAATATATAATTTTAGAACTTGTTAATTTGTCTTTTCTTTAATATACCGGGGGTATATACCTTTAATGGGGTCAATTATTGGCTTCCCTAATTATTTTAGAGAATAATTCTATTTAGGTTTATTGAAGAGCACTAAAACCCACATTCAAAAAAATAACTTTAGATATTTTTGATTAGCCCGTTTACGAGTTATCGCCGATTTCTTTTTAAATATTTCTCCTTTCTTATGGCCCTGTATTTACTTATGAGCACCAGTCAAGGTAAAAAATAACTGTCAAATGAAGTTGTCATTTCAGAAATTTACCTATTTAGTGCTTTATTATTATTATTATTAAAAACTCATACCTATATCGAAAATATTAGCCATGAATTACACTACCGAAGAAAAAGTATTGATGATTAAATGGAATTATCAAGGAAATAGTTATCAAAAGGTATCGGACATGTTTGCTGCTCTGTATCCGAATAGACCGATACCTGGAAAATCTACAATCGCAAGGAATATCCAGAGATTTGAGACCAAAGATACCCTAATAAATAACTGCAGATGTGAAGCAAGGCAGGAACAAAGAGAAGATGCAAGAAATGATACCGACTTGGAAGTTTTATTGTGCGTGGAAGAGAACGATGGAAAGATCAGCAGATCAGCACAAGGAAACTTGAGGATGAAATAGGAATAGATCACACTACAGCGTTTCGAATTTTGAAACGACATAAATACTATTCCTTCAAATATGAAAAGCACCAAGAGCTACGAGATGGGGACGAAATACGGCGGCAGGCGTTTTGTTTTGATATGATGGAAAGAATAAACACGGATAGGGAATTTTTAAAAAACATATGTTTTACTGACGAATGCACGTTTGCCTTAAATAATGAACCCATTGTTCAAAATTATCGATATTGGAACAAAGAAAACCAACACAGGTTTGTCGAAACAAGGACGCAATTTGGGCAGGGATATTCGGACACAATATTATCGGGCCATTATTTCTTAAGCAAAATTTAAATGCAGAATATTATTTGGAACTACTCGAAAATCATATTTTACCTGCTTTACATGATGCCGCTAGGGGATTAAATTAGGAAGTTTGGTACCAAATGGATGACTGCCCGGCTGTTCGGGAATATTTAGACAATAGTTTTAACGGAAACGTTATTGGCCTAAATCATACAGTAAATTCGCCAGCAAGGTCTCCTGATATTTCGCTAAATGATTTCTTTGTCTGGGGCCTTTTAAAAACAGGATATACAAGGATAAAAAATACCCAAATCTAGACGAGTTAAAAAATGCTATTTCTGCCGAATGCAATAGAATTTCAGTTTGCCAACTTTTGATTGCAAAAAAAACATAATAATTGTTTCAGGGCTCGAAATATGCTACCCATAAAAATATTTTTAAGCACTTATTAAAGACTCACCCTGTAAAATATTCATGAAAGTAGAAAAATAATACATACGACATTTATTTTGGAAACATTTCAGTTCAGCCAAACATAATATTGTTTGGTAAACCATACCTAGGGGTAGGATTTGTGTGCTTCAATGCTCATGACGCCAATCGTATTAAATTACAGACAGCAATATGAAAAACAACGGTTAACAAACTTCATATTCAAATGAATTAATAATAAAATACAATTTTAAATAATAAGTCTATTCGATTTTAATATTTTTATTATTTTTTTATGGAGTACACAGTACAATTTAATTATTTCATAAAGACAGTTCAATTTTGTAGTAAAATATTTGCAAAATTTAGCAAAAGCTCGTATCGATACAATTTTTTTTTCGAAAAGCGGCAGATATCGTTAATGTTAATTACTAATAATTTTTATATTTTTTTCTTTATTCCTTGGCTATAAAATAAATATCTGAATTGGTTAGTAATGTTCATTATTTTACAAAATAAACACACATATAATTGCAAATATTTTGAAACTTTAAATGTACTTTAAATTCTGCAGAAATATTGGGGTTGCAACCGTAATGATCTTGTTGATTTCGCGAAAATTCTTCCAATATTTCTGCAGGTTCTTGACTAGTTAAATTAATAAATTTCAGCATTTTATGTATGTAATTATTACAATCTATTACAAATAATGTTCTTGCTGACAAACTTGGCATGGACGCATTCCAAAAAGAATGCCATAAATCGATCAAATCCTTTGGTGTTATCGCCAGATTGTTTTAAATACTTAAAATTACAAAACAGAAACATTAATAAGCGATTAAAATATCACAATGTTTAAATTCCACTATTCCGGCCTGTAGAATTGCGTTCCAGGCGGAATCTTGTATCCTGGATAAGTAGAATTGAGGGCGTGTTGGGCAAAGAAAGGTTCGTAGTTCTTGTCTTTCCTGGTAGGCCTGCAGGCTGGTCCTTGGGCTAGTTCGATGCGTAGTCTATCCTCTTCCGCCATGCGGTGTCTTACGTCTTCTGGGGGCCATTTTAGGTCGCCCCGCAGGTGCTTTCCTCCTACAACAACTGTTTAGTATACAGGGTTTTAGAAAGGGGGGCATAAAACTTTGATTTTTCCGATATGGAACACTAAAATGGAGGTAATGTTTGATGGATAGTAAAAACATGTTACGTGAGTGCATAGAAATATGTGAACACTATTTGTGTGAATTAGTAACACAGTAATCACTCAAAACTATCGTATTTTTTTATCCAGATCAACTAGAGAGACCACGGAGCAGCGTAACAAGAGAAGTAGTCAGGTCGTATAGATTGAACAACAGGAATACTGCCATGAGTTACAGGAAAAGAATACAAGAGCTAATTGAAACTCAACCAGTCAATGAGGAACAAAATCTAGAAATAATGTGGGAAAATTTTAAATTTATACTATTAAAAGCAGGGAAAGAAATCTGTGGAACAACGAAAATTAACAAAAGCAAAAGACAAACCGCTTGGTGGAATGACGACATCAAACATGAAATTAAAATGAAAAAAGCGGCATGGAAAAACTATTTATGTGGCAGAAACATGGATAAATATGAAGTATATAAGAAACATAGAGAAAGAGTGAAGCAACTTGTAATGTTATCAAAGAAAAAGTCATTGGAAGAATTCGGTCGAAAAATTGAACACGATTTCCACGCAAATAAAAAGCTATTTTACAAAGTCCTTAAAAATCTTCGATGCAATAACAAAGACCCACCGATGAAACAAATAAACGATAAGAATGGAATATTACTAATGAATGAAGAAGACATTATTAAGAGATGGAAACAATATTTTGAGGATCTTTTTGAAGGGCAGAGTGATCAGGAAAATTTAGTCGTGGAAAGTAGGGCCACATCTCAAGAGGAAGATATGATAGAGTTAGAGGACGTCCATTGCACCATACAGAAACTTAAAAAAGGAAAGGCGGCGGGACATGACGGCATCACCGCAGAAATGCTGAAAAACATGGGAGAAAAGGGAGAAGAAATACTAACAAAGATTTGTACTTTAGCGTGGAACGAAGGAAAAATCCCAAATGATTGGAAAATAGGGGTCATCGTACCAATTTTTAAAAAGGGTAATAAAAGGGATTGTAATAATTATCGAGGAATCACACTTCTTAGCATTGCCTCTAAAGTTTATGAGCGAATACTGGAAGCAAAACTCGTAAATCAAATTGACAACCAACTTGAGGAATCGCAGAGTGGATTTAGGAAGTGCCGATCATATATTTACAATTAAACAAATAACGGAAAAAATTAGAAATACAAATGTCCAAGTTACCAAGCCTTTCTTGATCTTGAAAAAGCCTTTGACAGACTTCCAAGATCTGAAGTTCAGAAAACCCTAATAAATAAAAACATTGACCAAAACTTAAGAAGAGCAATAATGAGTTTTTATCCGACACTAGAAGCTATGTAAGGACCGATAATATGCATTCAGAAGAGTTTTCAATTCGTGAAGGTGTTCGACAGAGAGGTGTCCTAAGCCCAATTTTATTCAATTTAGTTATGGATGATGTAATGAAAGAAACCAGACGAGAGACATCTAAACTTCTTGTAGGGTACCAAAATATGCAGCCTGTGTGGATCAATGAATGCGCTTTCGCTGACGACATCGTTATATTTGCTAGAAACGAAACAGAACTTAAAAGAAATCTCAATACATGGAAAAACAAATTATCTTCCAAAAACCTTAAAATAAATGAGAACAAACAAAAATAATGATTAGCGGAAAGAGTGAAGAAATGGTTAGCATAGAAATAAATGATCAAATAATAGAGCAGGTAAATTCTTTCAAATATCTGGGAGTCCAAATAGAAAGCCAGGGACATCAAAACCAAGAGATAACTGCAAGAGTCCAAAGCGCTGCAAATCTATACCATAGCATAAAGAACACATTTCTAGGCAAAAAAGAGGTATCATTGAAGACCAAAATCAGCGTGTTTAATTCAGTATTCGTACCAATATTAACATTCGGTAGTGAGAGTTGGGTTCTCACCAGGAGACAAGAAAGCTTAATACAAGCAGTAGAAATGAAATACCTACGAAAAGTGCTAGGGGTTACGAGGATGAATAAACTACGCAATTCCCATATCTCTAGAGAGCAGCTGAAAGTCCAGCTAGTACTAACAACTATCGAAAACTGCCAGTTGAGGTGGTACGGACATTTGAAAAGGCTCAACAAAGAGAGACCAGTAAGAAGAGTATGGGAGGCAAAAAGGCAAGAAAAAAGGAAAAAGCGTAGACCTGCAACTACTTGGGATCAAAATGTTGCAAAATTACTTAAAACTAGAGGGATCGGCTGCGCCGAAGCAGAAAGCATGGCCCTGGACAAGAAGAAGTGGCAAAATTTTATTACTACTTATTACTTACTTTGCTCTGAATATGATAATCGTAAATCACAGGGTGTTCAAAATTCTACGCCAAACTTTCTAAAATATAAAATAATTTTTATTCGTTTTTTTTGAAATTTAAGATCCTGTATAATATTTTCTCAATAGATGGAGAATCAAAAAATGAACATTTTTTGTATTTACAGTATTTCAAAATTTTTAACTATTTTGCAGATATTTGCGGTTTTATATTTCATATGGCATTTTCCACAATAAATTTTTATCAAAGCCACTCAAAATGATTTTCTCTCGTATTTTACCGTTGAAAAACTCATATGAAATAATACTGCTTGTATCTGCGAAACCGTTAAACATTTTGAAATACTTTCCATCTAATAAGAAAATAATATACAGGATGTTCAATTTAAAAAGAAACGAACAAAAATTATTTTGTATTTTAAAAAGTTTGGCGTAGAATTTTGAACGCTCTGTATAATTTACGATTACCATATTTATAGCAAAGTAAAAGTACAGACCATCAAAAGTAAATAGCTAATATAGTTTTGATTTCAGGACATTTCTTGTATTTATAAAAATATTTTTAAGAAAGGCTGAAAAATATTACATATTTTTTATTTATTTATTAATATCTGTGAAACCATCGAAACCATCTTACGATTACGTAAGGTGATCTGAAAGGAAGCCAAAAAAGCAATAATTTACAGCGTGGTCCATTTAAAAAAATCCTGATCCACTCATACTTTTTTGGGCCACCCTATAGAAGTTAAAATGTTTTCCTGAAATACATCACCCTATACACACTTTAGGTTTGCACTTAAACGAAATTCTAGGAGCTATACAGATGCCTGGCGCACTATTGCCGAACCCTGTATAAAGTAATCATCTAATTCACATGTACCAGAATCAAAAAATATTTAATTTAGGTATTCTGACAAAACGCCTAAGAAAATTCTTGGATAATGACCGTTTTAAAATACACACACCGGAAAAGTCTAGGGATATTACAATATTATCCAGCCATCGTCAGTAATTTTATTATTTGCATTTCTGATATAATAAAATTAAAATAAACAAATAGTTTACAGGACGTAACAAAGGGCAAAACGGACAAAACGCCTAAGAAAATTCTTGGATAATGACCGTTTTAAAATACACACACCGGAAAAGTCTAGGGATATTACAATATTATCCAGCCATCGTCAGTAATTTTATTATTTGCATTTCTGATATAATAAAATTAAAATAAACAAATAGTTTACAGGACGTATTGGAAATAAAAATGCGAAATTTACCGAATTTTTCAAATTTACCTTGATTTTTATTGAACTCAAAAAAATACACACATTTTTTTTTATTCTAAACTGTGAATTAAAAAAAAAGATAAAACCATTTTACTTATTAAAGGGTATGGCCTCCTCTACTGTTCATCACAGCCTTACATCGTCTCTACATGCTCCTGATCAAGTTGTCGATCTCTTCTTGAGGTACAGCCTGCCACGTTGCATTCACGGCCCGAACCAGATCCCTACGAGTTTCACGAGGCATAGCCATTCTCAAAATTCTTCTTTGGACCGCGTCCCATACGTGCTCGATGGGGTTGAGGTCAGGAGATTGTGCCGGCCAGGGTAAGATGTTTAATTGATGAACATTGATAAACTCACTTACCACTCTGGCTGTATGAGACCGTGCATTGTCATGCATGAGAATGAAGTTTCTCCCAAAATCATTGGCATATGGTAACACGACAGGCTCAAGAATTAAATCACGATATGTGATTCCTGTTAGAAACCTTTCAAGAAAAACGAGATCAGTTTTTCGGCCTAACTGGACTCCCCCCCTCCAGACCATAACTGTTCCACCTTGATAAGGGTGCACTTCCTGAACATGATCCAACCGAATAAGATTTCCCGGTTCTCTCCATACCCTAAGCCTTCTCGAATCCGGATGAATTCCAAAGCGTGACTCATCCGTGAAGAGAACATTGGCACATTGTTCATTCGACCACTGAACATGATCTTGAGCCCACAAATATCGTACCTCTCGATTTCCTCTCGTTAAGGGTTAAGCTCTCCAGGGGCGTCTGCTTCTTAACTTGGCCTCTCTTAATCTATTGCGAACAGTGTCAGGACTAACGGTTACATTATGTGTTTCCTGGAGAATTAAACTAAGCTCTGGTGCTGTAAGAGTCGGTCGGCGTCGAACATTTAATTGTAAAAAATGATCTTGCTGAGGGGTAGTAATGCGATGTCGCCTTGTGTGCCTTTCAGCAACATCACCGCTTTCACGGTAGCGTGCACTTAATCGCGATATTACACTTTGCGTTGTATTTAATGCTCTAGCTACGTCGATTGGGCGCATTCCAGCTTCAAGCATAACCATGGCCCTTAGCATTTCGTCTCTGTTAAGATGTCTACGCTCCATAATGTCGTTTAATACTAAACAGAGTTATTTGAATGAATTCTGGCCAGTTATCATAAAAACATAGCCAGTACAGGTTAAATTCGAACAATTGATGCTAGGTGCTTTTTATACATTTGACAAAAAATGCACAAACACTTCTGCAAATATCCCAAATTTAGAAATAACTAGTTTGACTACTTCGTTTCAATCGAAGTAGAAAGAATCGGCCTACAAATATATGGTTGTTTATTCAAAACATTTATTTTTAACTTTAAGAAAATGATATCCCTAGATTTTTCCGGTGTGTGTAGATAACAGTAAATACCAGATAATGGAAAAAATTGTCACAAAATATTCTTTAGTCACACACAATAGGTTTGTTCTTTATTGCAAAGCTATGATCGTATTAGTGTACAGTTTTTGCACCTACATACATGTGTTTAATGTGCATTGCGCTTAGTGGTGAGCCAAAAAACAAATACTACCAAATACCTATTACTTTAGTTATAGTACCAAATCTTAGAAAGAGCATTTAACAACATTTATAGAATTATATTGAAGAAGATTCTAGAACCTTGCCTAGACAGCCTTCAAATTCAGTAAAATAAACAACACAGTGTTAAATTGAAAGAAACAAATGTAACTAGATAGATAACAGAATCATATTTTTGTTTGACTTCTGCATTAATTACACTAGTTTACATGGTTTTCATACCCCAGCTGAAAGTTGTTATTTTATTATTTATTTAGGTAGAATTATCCAGAAAAAAATAATAGAAAATTCTGTCACATCTGGTTTAAGAAATATTTAGTTACTTAACTGAAATACATAATGTTGGTATTAATACTAAAAAAAATTAAAAATGACAAATTTTTGCCTTCTTTTTATAGCTATTTGAATCAGTTTCTCTTAGAACGGACCAACAGTAATCCCCTAATATGTTTTCATCCCAAAATCCTTGATGTCGTTCTTCAAAAACCTTTAAATCTTCGTGGAAACGTTCCCCTTGTTCGTCACTCATACTTCCTAAGTTGTCAGGGAAAAAACTCAGATGCGAGAGCAAAAAATGAATCTTTAATGACATGTTTACTCCCATCTGTTGAAAATTTTCCAATAAATCGGTAACAATTTCTTTGTAATTTTCACTTTTTTTATTTCCCAAAAATTCTTTCACAATTCACCATTTGGAATGATTTCCAAGCAGATTTTTCATTGACAGATAAAAGGCTTTCAAACTGAGAATCTTTCATAATTTTACGGATTTGTGGGCCAACAAATATATCCCAATGTCTTCGTAACACAAAAGTAACAATCGTTTTCATGATTACTAGGTTCTCTCCATAGCATTGGTGAACCAAATGGAAGGTATGCTTTTTTTCCTGATGACCACTGGAGTAAGACGAATCTACACCTTTCGCAAAACACATGAGGCACTCACTTTTTATCTTGGTTTGCAACAGGAAATCCAAAATAATAAAGATATGCAAATTTGAACGAATCTAACAATGGGTCTTCTCTTCTTTGATAATATATATTTCCCACAAACATAACAAGAACGATCAGAACTTTGTTTACATATTCTACTCGACATTTTAAATCAAGCCGAAACAAGATAATTCTTATCGTTTCAATCAAACGAATAACACTAAACTGTCCTCACCACCTCAGGCATTCGAAAAAAAAAACATTTAACAGCAGCAAGAAATTGTGACGTGATAGAATATTTCTTCTAATACTTTTAGGTTTAGGGAAGGTAGATTAACATATTTATGTGCATTTATTTCGGGGTATATAAAAAAAGTTAAACTTTGTAAACTAGTGTTATTTTTGTCTGCCAATAATGAACAAACCTACTGTCTGGCATTTTGAATATCAAACAAACCTCTTAAGGAAGCCGTGGCTGGTTGTGCTGAGTAAACTGGGGCTGGTTTCTGGCTCACAGGAGCCGAAGGTCGGAGTGTGATGGTGGACGGAGGTGGTTCTACCGGCTTGCCTTGTGGTCTAGACGCTGCTACCTAGAATTTGGTAGTATCGGTTTTTATATGTATGTGTAACTAAAGGGATTAAATAGAGTCATGTCCAATAGGAAAAGCAAAACCCCCAAAACGAATTATTTATCCAAGATTTTTAAGTTAATGTCTCATTTTTGTTTGCTTTTTGTTCATGCCGTTCTGTACTGTATGATCGAATAAAAACGGCGTCAACGATGGCTATAAAATGAGAGGTCGCTGTCATTTTATATGGGAAATGTCATGGATCGTCATTTTCCAGCCAACTGGTCGCCGTTTTTTCTCGATCATACGGTACTACCACAGATTATACGGATTATAAACTTTGTTTTTTCTTTATTGTTTTTCGTGGTTCCAATTTTCGGAATCGGGCACTAGTTAAGTTATTAGTTTGCGCACATAGCACGCCCCACAGTTAGCCTGGGCCAAGATGTCAAGAAAAAAAATATATAAACTTTGAGTACTTTATTTTTTAAATGGCGATACCACTGGCTTCATAAAAATATAAAAATTAAAATCGCCGACGTACAATTGGGGTCTCTACACAAATTTAAAAAAAAAACTTTTTCAACCAAAGTAAAAAGCGCGTAAAAAGTTTTGTTAATAATAAATAACGACCATCATCAGCAAAAGTTATGCTTGATTAGTGGAGACTGTTGCACCCATAAAACATGTATTCTTTTAGTGTTGTTTCTTTGACAATATTCCCGAAGAGGAAGTTAAATCAAAGGAAATGTTAGAAACTAGGATGAAATATAGTTAGTAATCTCATAGAGTTACTACAAAAATTGCCAAAAATAAAGGATATTTAAATATATTCCTAAAATAGTCGTCGTCAATGACACAAAGTGGCGTAACTCATTTTTTGATATTTTCCAGAAGAGCGATTTAAATAAGCTTCTTCCTAATTTTATCTCAATACCAACCAAAATAATGTAGTCCCTGTGTTTTTTTAACAAAAAAGAAACACAGTGTCGAATGTAGAATGTTTAGGAGGGGATTTAATCATCGCGACCTTAAAGATCTATTGTGTGTTCCCCTTTCTTGAGTTATAACGAGTTATAACTCATCATACAGTCTCAGGGCTTTAACGAAAGCCAGTATCTGAGACGGCTCCATAGAGGCCAGCTCTCCATTCTCGACATTAGCCGTACCAAAGTTCATGGCACGAATGATCGTCGTCTCGGTGCACTCAATGATAAGGTGTTCTGGTGTTTCTCCATTTTCCCCACAGAATCTGCATTCGCTGCATTGTTTCTCAGCTTCAGCCTACTGAGGTGTTCGTTGAGGAGACAGTGTCCTGTTAGAAACCCCGTGACAATCAACTGAAGATTGTTTTTACTTAAATCAAGGAAAACCTTTGATTTTTCTCGGTCGTAAGTTCTGAGGAACTTTTTCGAGTGCCTTAGACCGTTGGAGGACACCCATTCCAAGTTACGGATGAAGTCTTCCAGATTCTTCAGTTCCGCTTTCAGTTGGTTCCCATTTGGAAAACAGAACGGTTCTGGTCCAGTTAGTAGAGTGTTTGCTCCATAGACTTAAAATAAAATATAGACTGAGCATCTCATTCATAAATAGCTGGAACGTGCGGTCAGACAATGTCTTGTTATTGTTGTGTTATTGTTTTAGGTTATAACGAGTGCGACACGAGCGATAGATAGGTTGTCTCTGTCGTAACGGTCGTTCCCTGACGACTCTGCCGAGAAACACAACACTGTCTTTCGTTTCTCAAGTACACCTGAACTCTCCGTATCATAGCCGGGTAATTTTTTTATTCTAATGAAGCCATAATTAAATTAAAAATATATCGTATTTAAACTTTTTTATATTTTATTAAGATTTAGGACAGGTTTTTTAAATAAAAGTTTAGAAAAAACGTCTTAGAGTCCAAAATGGATAAAAATAATAAAATACACGTTATAGAAGAAATTTTATAATCGAAATTACGTAATTTTTGAAATTAATAATAAATTATTAATTTCAAAAATTACGTAATTTCGATTTAAATTAATAATAAATTATTAATTTTAGTCAAACATTTATAACCCCTAATATTAATCAAAACAGAATCTATTCTACAGATATAATAGAATCGGCGACAGGGAGAGAAAAAAAATATGATTGTTGTAATAACAAGATTTAGTATGTTAGTATATGACATAAATTAGGATTGATTGACGCATTCAATTGTTTTTGGTCACTTCCTGTTTCACCGGAAATGACTATAACTTTTAATTTTTAAACGGCACCCTCGGTATATTTCTACTTTATTCGACAGAAAATGCAAATGGTTTAATTGTAATTGTAACATGCGATTCATAACGACAATTTGACTCGAAATACCAAGTGTGTGGTATCAATATATTCATAAAAAAATGCTTTTTCCAAATATGCTAATGAGTCACCCTTGTTCCATTTGAAAAAATTGTTACATGTATGATTAAAAATACGATTTGTACATCTTTTAACCGGCCTAGACAAGACACGAAACTCATTAGACGATCAAAACTATTTTTCCATCGAATAAAGTAGCAATATACCGAGGGTGTCTTTAAAAATCAAAAGATGTAATAATTTCGGTGAAACAGGAAGAGACCAAAAACAATTGAATACGTCAATAAATCCTAATTTTTGTCATATACCTACTAACATACAAATCTGTTTTTTTTTATCTGAAAAAATAAAAAAGTTATAGGGGGTGAGCCACTTTTGGGACGACCCGGTATATTAAAAAATATTGTTTCATAATGTACTATCATTTTAAAATTCTTGTATGTTATTTTAGATTCTGAAGATAATTTTAGAATAAACCGGAATATATTTTTAATAAAAACATTATTAATTATAACAGTAGTAAATAATGTAATGTAAGAGAAAAAATTCAGATTTTACATTTTACTAAAATATTATCTAAATAAGCGCCTTTCTACAACAACGCCACTGATTCCTAATGGGTAAATTGAGAGTTGCCTACAGGTCGAAAGTCGTTTCAAGACTTAAATGGATTACTAAAGTCACATTTCTTGCAAATTTGGCACTGGCGAACCATATTTTATAGTTCTTGAACAGAAAAAGTCAATAAAATAAACACTTAAGAACTACAAGCTAAGAAAATGCGTTAATACAGCCGGGGACATAGCGGCAACAAAGCTTTACCGCACACGTGCGACGCGTACTACAAGGTAATAAATGAATGAATAGGCTCCCTCGCCTCTAATCGGTGTTGTCATATTGTAAAGAACTTATCTTTTTTAAACAGTATCTGAATTATAATTTAGTAGTATAAGGACTATTTAATACATCTATGGAATATTAAAACCTACTTTATTAAACTGTAGTATTAATATCTCAATATATGTGTATAACAAGAAAAAAATATTGATAATATTAAAGACGTGACAACATAGGCTGGATGAGGAAGGCTCGGTCGACTGTACCCAGAAGTAAACATGTGTACAAAAAAGATTGTTTGGCCGCGTTGAGATGTAAATAGTGTAGTCTATATTTTATTTTAAGTCTATTTTCCTAGCTAGGTCATTTGCTTTTTCATTGCCTTCAATCTCTTGGTGAGCAGGCACCCAGAGCAGAAAAAACACAGTGGCTTCAATATGTTTTGGTTAGTATTGAAACAAAAGTCGCAAAAAAAATTAAACCGCTCTCCTCAAAAATGTCAAAAAATGAGATAAGCCACTTCGAGATGTTGACAATGTAGTGTCAAGTTAATATATTTAAAGTCTCTTCTTATTTTAAATAAAACTTTTACAAAAAAAAATCAATTCTATAGCACTCATTCAACAAATCCTTCCATACCTGAGTCTGAGCAGCTACTGGTTGAGACTGAGAGGGAGGTTGCGAAAATGACTGAGATTGGTATTGTGGAGAAGGTTGCTGAGGGGGTTGATATTGTTGTTGGGGAGGTTGATATTGTTGTTGAGGAGGTTGATATTGCGGTTGGGGAGATTGATATGGAGAACTAGGTTGCTGATATTGACCAGGCTGACCGTACTGTTGCCCAGGACCTTGGTATTGCGGGGCGGGTTGTTGGTATCCTTGACTCGATTGGTAAGGCTGACTGCCGGGTTGGTACTGAGGTTGGCTTTGCGCCGGTGTACCGAAATATTTTGCGGGAGGTGCAGCTACCGGAGAGTGTACCGGGGCCCAACCTTTAGTAGGTGTACCGGTACGAAAACCGTGAGGACTCTGGTTAATAGAAGGAGATCCCAGTGGCGATCCAGTACCTACTGAGCTCACGTCTAACGGTTTTAAAGGGCGTTGGAAAGGTTGTTGGGTTTGTTGGTAAGGAGCACTCTGCTGGGGAGAGTAGCTATTCTGTTGCAAACCGGGGCTGGAATATTGGGGTCCACCCTAACAAAAACAAAATTTTGCTTCAAAAATCTAATCTTCTTCGTATTTATATACAGTGTGGTGTATCGGAACACGGAACATAGGAAAATCCATGTAAATTTTGAAAATTTTATCTCCCTCTCCAGATAATTTTATGCAAAAGTTGTATTAGACCTTTTTGAAGAAAAGTTAAAGTTGTATTTTTATCCAGAATTTTGTTTCATTTAGAATAGCCATTTAAAAGTTATTTGTGAAAATCTACTGTCAATTTAATAAAATTTATAATACGGCCCAGAGAAAGCTCAAATTCGAGTAATTTTGTATAAAATAGTTATGATTTTCACGAATACTCAAAAAGTTACGATGCTTAAACGCCATTTTGCTGGAAATACTATTTCCACTATGCTAGGTTTGTTCGCAGCTCAGTATCCGGACAAACCTACACCGAATAAGTCATTAGTTCAAAGAATAAACCAGAGGTTTGGAACCAAAGGCACGGTATTAAGCACATGAATAAATAAATAAATTTTTAAGTCTTTATTGTCAAAAAATTTTACAATTTGTAGACAAAGGTCTTAATAGAAGATTATTTTCTTTTATCTATGGACAAAAGCTAAAGTAAACAATAAAAAAGAGAATACAAAACAAGTATACAAATTACATTGTCAGTCTTATTCGTTAAGTCAAAGAATAAAAAAATAAAAATAAGATTCAATAATATTTAGTAAGTTTATACTAATTATGTAACAGTAGTAGCAAATATTAGACCACTGTTTACAAGATCAAATTCGATTATCAAAATATAAGTCATTTACGACGTAGAAAGCCTTGTCTAGTAAATAAGATTTCAATGCTTTGCGAAATGAAGAAAATGATGTTATGCATTTGATTTTAAAATGCAGGTGATTGTGAATTTTTTTCGAGTTGTATAATATTGAACTTTTAATTAACTCTGAGCGTGAGGTAGGTAGATAAAGATCTTGCTCCGCGTTCCTGAGTGGATAAGCGTGAGATGGCCTTTCTTCAGAAGCTGATACATGCTTACGTATTAGGCAAACGGATTCAAATAAAAATAAGGAAGGAAGAGTTAATATTTGTAATTTTTTAAAAAAAAGTCCTGGCAATGAGTTCTGCTGTTTAGTCCTTGTGAATATCGAACAGCTCTCTTCTGGAGCTTGAAAATGCGGTCAAATTGAGTCGCACAACACGTACTCCAGAATGGAAGGGCATATCTGAGGTGCGACTCAAAAAGTGCATAATAATCAGTTCTAGCTATTGACAAGTTAAGCTCCTTAGAAACAGATCTTAATGCAAAACAGGCAGAGCTTAATTTTTTTTACAAAGCATCGATATGTATGTCTCATTTTAGAGAATTGTCTACAACAAGCCCTAAGAATTTTACAGATTTTACGACGTGAATGGTGGTTTTTTTAAGTACAAAAGGCTGCAGCGAGCTCAAATGTTGAGACTCAGGAGGTTCGAATCGCACCAAGATTTAATGGTGATTAAGTCGTTTGATATAATCCTATGAAGTGCCGCGACGTCCTTGTTGCTCCAAGTGAAGCTAGTGTCGTCCGCAAAAAGACATATTTTACCACTGATGTTTATGTTAGCAATGTTGTTAATAAAAAAAGAAACAATGAAAAATGAAGATGTGAAGACAATAATAATGAACAGAAATAAAACAACATTGACTTGAATATTCTTCTTTATGTTGAAGAAAAGAAAAACATTGACTCCCGTCTATTGGAGATACAGTAGGAAAAGACCACAAGGTCTTTCGCCCAATGACTTCTTCCTGTGGATCATACTCAAAAATCTAGATGAAAAATTTAGATGAACTGAAAACAACGCCTCAGTGGAATGCTAAATATTCTCCCCTTAACAGGTTTGTATTGTGAGGCGTGAATTTTAAAATCATTTGGTGTATTTTTTGGATGTAAATATAACTGGTATAGTTATTTAATAAAGTTCCTTTAGAAACAAATATTTTGTTTATTTCCTAAAAGTTTTGTATGGTATACCATATATACCATATATTTTATATGGTATATATGGTATATATACCATATATTTTATATGGTATGGGCAAGGCCTGAGAGTAATGAACAGCAAACAAGTCACACACCGCAAATACTATTCTCAGTTCAACTAATTCTTTTAGTTCAACCACCCTTTCCAAACCACACAAAGTCGTAAACAAAATGTGACATCGAATTTGACAATGACAAAATCATATTTTTGCTGGTATTTTAATTGTAGCTTTCTCTGGGCCGTATTATAAATTTTTAGTAATTTGAAGGTAAATTTTTGCAAATAACATTTAGCTGCCTATTCCAAATAAGACGAAATCTAGACGTACACTAAAGCCTCTTCAAAAAAGCCTCATACAATTTTTGCATAAAATCATTTGCGGAGAGTAATATTTAAGCTTTTCAAAGTTTACATGGGATTTCCTATGTTTCGTCTTCCAGTGCAACATACAGTATAGTCCGTATTTAGTACATTTTTGGCCTTGATTTGTTTAGATTTGAATAATTACATTATTATAAAAGGTATTTGTGTTTATATTGTTGTTAGAGGGTAAGAGTTTTAATAAAGAAAGATATTTAAAAAAATATTCTTGATATAATCGAGATATAAACCATAAAAATAAAATCCTCATATACTGTTATAATGGAATTGTTAAAGCGTTATTATTTTCTAAAGGAAGACAGTTATAAAAAGTACATAACGGTGCTAGAAATAATACGGTCTTAATTAAAAACTCGTGCTGTGCCAAGTGCTGTTGTTACGCTAAATTTATTCTGGTATAGCCCTACCCACCTGTATATGTGCAGGACTTTGCTGTGCTGGTTGAGCCACGTCCGCTGGATCTAGAACGCCCTCTTGCGGTGGCGGCCAGGCTACCCTTTTAACGCCTATACCAAAAAAAAATGTGTAAACATTACTAACATCAAACTAAACTATGATTATAGTTAAGCTAACCATACTTATTTCCCCCCCTTATTATAGCGGACTATAATCTTTCCTATTCTTAAATAATTATAAGAAATAATGATTACGTTTACATGAATGTGTTAGACAGATAATGTTCATTACTGATACTAAGAGAAGTTTGGACTTCTATTTTATTTATTTTAACTTTCACAGCGTTTCGGCCAGATGTACGAGCCCTAACAACTATATGTTGGGACAAGTAATTTGTTAAAACGACTCAATTTATTTTGTTTATTATTCTAAATTCAAACATTACAATATTATGATCTAGACAATTTTACTATATTTTTATAACTTTGCAAACAAATCACTTTAGATAATAGCTTATTTTGCCAAAATCAAGCCAAATTTGCTGACAACTATATATTGGGACAGCACAACAAGAAATTTGTTTAATACGGAGTTACATCACCTTTCGCCTTAACAACTGCCTGAACTTTTAATGGCATTTATTTACCAAAGATTGGCACATTTGAGGAGAAAAATTATCCCGAATTTCGTGCAGCTTTGTCCGCAAATCAAAATTTGTTCGTTGAGGGTGGTTTCTTAAATATTGCTTCATTTTATGCCACACATTTTCTATAACATTGAGGTCCGGACTACTTGCAGGATGGGATAGAACTTTTACATTATTATTACCGAACCAATTTTTGATTTTGCTGAATGGCACGATGCTCCATCTTGTTGGAAAAATAGTCTTCGTTTGGAAACAATTCTTGAGCACTAGGCAAAAGTGAGGTCTCAAGTATATGTTGATATTTTTGGGCGTTAACAGTGCCATCTATAAAATTTAATTTGCCCAACCCTCTTGCTGACATGCAACCCAAACCATAATCCCCTTAGGAAATTTAACAACCCTCTTTAAGCAATCTTTATGAAAAAATTCTGCTTTATATTTCGTATTATTCGTTTTCGATGATCTCTCTAAATATGACCTTATTCCAATCATTTTGTGTCCACGATAATTTAGATTTTGCCTAATTGTAGCGATTTTTCTTCTGAATCTCTGTCAGTAGCGGTTTTTCTTTGGCCTAAATAAGAATTTGTATCAATAATCTTCAAGTAATTGATTATCCACACAAAATAAAGATTACCTTGTAAAACCCCCAGACCACATTTATGGATATATTTTCGGCCAACATTCTCTTGATATATTTAAACCAGTTACAGTATTCCATTTAACTGTTACTTCGCGAAGAGTACTTCTTCTCGCAGACTTGCGCAAATTTTTACTAAATTTCGTAAATCTCTCTGAGATACAACTTTTGACCTTCCCGAACTTTTACCTCTAACGTCTACATTGACAGATTGCCGTATTTTTTTTATTATATTAAAGACCGTGGTTTTTGGAATACTTAAATCATCAGAAATTTTTCGAATTGTTTTTCCCGTACTGTATTGACGAATGATAATTTCTCGTAGTTTTTGATTTGTAGCTTTTCCACGGACCATTACTTTGAATTAAATTAACAAAATTGAAAATTAAAAAAAATAAAATTACTTACAGTAAATCTCACTACTCAAAGTATCGAGTCACTTACAAGCTGTCAATGCTGAAGTAAACAGTTTGCGACATTTGTGACGTTTATAGCAAAGCCGCCTATGATGATATTAATTATTTAAAAATACTTGTCCCAACATTTAGTTGTCAGCAAATTTGTCCTTTTATGAACAAAATCCGCTACTATAAATATGGATTGATTTACAAATTCATAAAAATATTGTCAAGTTGTTTAGAATATATGGCTATGTTTATATTTAAAAAATTAAACATATATTTTTCGGTTATTTTGAAAAACCAGGGCAATAATTCCAAAATATGACCTTATCCCAACATATAGTTGTTAGGGCTCGTATCACTGACCATTATCAGTTCTTTAATTGACAATGGTCAGTGTTTATCAGTCAGCTTGGCAGAAACATTGTGCTAGTTAAAATAAATATAGACAATAGAAGTAACCTTAACATGATTTCCTAGATCAAATACTACAAGGAATCTTTTAGAAGGGTAAAGTAATTTTGATATTTGACAAAACTGGTATAATATTTGTCCTTAAGAAAAGTTCCAACCAACAACTGTTACCTACAGTGTCACAAATAGATCTACATCTTATAGGATTTTTTATCTACCTATTTCCTTAGGTGAAAATTTTATTTCGGTGATAGTTTTTGCTTTAATTGGATTAAACATTACGTAAGAAAAATTAACCTGTTACTCTCAGGCATCGGTCAAATATGACATTTAAAGACATAGGGCCAAAATATATTATCTCTACAGGGTGTTTCAAAAAACATGTGTCATCTCTCGTGGGGAGATTCCTCAGGCAAAAATAAGACTTATTTTTCATATCAATGTTTCGTAGCTACAGAAGGTTAAAGTCTTTTTTCGATTAATTATAATTTTCTTCCAATTGCTATTAGCGATTGGAATGAAATTTAGAGGGTAAAAGCACAGATTAGGTATACTATATGTATACAGATAAAAATCTTATCCCTAATTCGTGGTACGAAAATTGTTTTTTATGACGATGTGCCCTCGTAAAATCCCTGGTAAAAACGCGTAAAATAACAATAAACAGCGTAATAGAGAGATATCGCTAAACGAATAGCGTGCATGGACGTTATAGTTATCGGATCGGAAAGAATTCTGTTCGCGTCGCGTCCGCTATTTAAACTTAACCTAACTTTGAATTTAAAACTTTGAAATTGTTTTGTTTACTAGGTATTTTAAAACTAAAGGGCTAAAGTGCTTATTTCCAGTGATTCATTGTTCAACGTCTGCCAGTGGGTTTTGGGCAACAAGCAACAAATTCTCTTAGAAGGGCTAAGTCGTCATCTGCTGTAAGAAGTCGCCATCTGTTGGAAGAGGTGGAATCCATATTTTGGACCATATTTATTTAATTAAAACTAATCCCAGCTACTTAAATATCAAATTACCTAATAAAACTAAAGTAATAATTCAAAACAATTCAAACATAACCTAAGATTAAAAATCTCGCCGGCCGGCCCCGGTTGTCAAAGACCCGCACATGCTCATTTAAGCAATTTTTAAACGTTATTTAGAAATAGCGCTTGGTGTAATTGATCCGCAAATTACGTCAGGCGGTAACGTTATTAGCGGGTGTTGCGTTAAAAATTGACTCGCGCATATCGTCACCATGATAAAGGTATGCGTACATACTGCATGACGCTATTCGGTTTTCTGATATCTCTCTAATAACTAGAGTTGGGAAAATTCGAATTAAATAATACGACTAATTCGATAGTAAATTAAAACTAACTAATTCGAATTATCTTTTTCGATATAATCGAGATAAAAATTAGTAGTATTTTATATTATATCTGTGGTAACCGAATTACAAATGAACATAAAACATAACCTCTTATGGACGAATACGAATTAGTAGTAGTATAGTACTATTAGTAGTATTCTTTCGTTCGGAACGAACTGAAAATTTTCACTTAAACTGATTTATAAGGGAATCGACAAAGAAAGGAACGATCTGATATAGAAAAATCCAGAAATCATTGTTATTTCCTATATCACGTAGGAATAAATCAGTTTAAGTGAAAATTTTCATTTCGTTCAGAACGAAAGAATACTACTATTATTTGGTTCATTTCCATCTCACCCAAATTTCACCGAACACCTGCCGAACACTAAAATTAATTTTCTTCTTTTATATAAATAATTATTGATTGCAACTGATAAAATAAAAAGAAATACGAACCGCACGTAAACAAGGACATACTTATATCGTTTTAGAAGAAGCTTTTATTTTAGATATGAGCTTTTCAATAGGAATTGAAACAATCATAAACTCGGCACTTTTAAATTTAAAACTTTAAATTATGGTTTAATTTATTAAACGGCTTCGGCACAGTTAATAGAATACATTAAATAAAGAATATTTTTTTTATTTTTTATTCAGTGATAGAATATAGGCATGGCAATGGTTCAGATTTGTTTAAAATAGCCCCTAGACGAGCACTAGCTGGGACGAATTTATTTTTAGGTTAAATTTATAATACTACTAAATAATTCGAATTATTAATTCGATTATGAAATATGATATATTACTAATTATTCGATGGTGAAAATAATTCGATTATTCCCATCACTACTAATAACTGTGCCGGTAAGGCGCTGTGGACAATTTTAGAGGCCATAAATGGGCGTGCTATGTGCGCAAACTAGTAACCTAACAGGTTTGTTCGGGTTCTTGTTATTACCGATTCTGAATCGTCCTAGAACTGTGATGAGTATGCGCAGAAGGAAATACGAAGACATTATTTCATTTGCGCATGCGCTGCAGAGTTCAGAATCGGTAATAACAAGAACCCGAACAAAGCTAACTAGTGCCCGATTCCGAAAATTGGAACCACGAAAAACTATAAAGAAAAAGCAAAGTTTATAATCTGTATGATGTATATGTTTTCCTTGTGTAGAAAAATTGTGTAGGTCATTTAATGCCGTGTAAAAATTGTTTGTTGATATTTTGTCGATTTCGATCTCCTATTAAACACACTTCAGTGGCGCACATATTTTTACACAATATGCACGTCCCTGGTGACTATGTCAACACTTTTTCAGCATTAAAATATGTCGCACTTCTAGTAACTTTTACCCTCAAAATTTAATTCGAATAGCTAAAAGCACTTGAGGAATCTCTCCACGAGAGATGGCACATGTTGCTTGAAACACCCTGTATAGTCATCTATAAGAAAAATGTAATCTGTTATTTTTACGTCTACCTAAAAAAAATAAAAAATAATATCCAGATGGTTGAAAATTGGAATACGTAAAATTATAAATCAAAAACACTTTTAAAATACATTTTTTACATGTTAAACTTGAAAAATTATTTTGTAATAATAAATTTAAATTTAATCATTCTTATAACGTCGTGTATACTAATAAATTATATTATTAAAACGTTTCGCTTGTTTATTCCGCGGTTTTAATGGTTTGGCAAAAACAAAGCTGATCTTATTTACTCTGACTTTATGAATTATTGTAGTACATAGTTATTTCTTTAGAGTAAAATATTTAAATTAATAATTAATATACTCAATCTTTAAATAGGCTATAAAAGCAACGCATAGAAAAATAAATATTGTAATCGATACTAGATCCTTCAGAACTCAAAAATGTCCTGTTTATACTTGGTGGCCTGACTAAGCAACTGACGAAAATATTTGGCAGTTTCTCAAGAAAAACCTGAATCATATCATCGGACTTTTTAAAGCCAATTTATTGCACCTTTATGTTTCTAAGGTTACAGTAATAACAATTTTAAAATTACTCGAATGTAATTAAATTTCTTGCAGTAAAAGTTTTTTTTTAATTTACTACATTTTAATTTACTACATTGCTTGAAAATTACATACAAAATTGCTTACATTGAAATTAAAGGAACAAACATCTACACTAAATAAAACCACTAATTTATTCCACGAATTACGAGCTTTACGATATAAAACAAAATTAATTAAAATTCATAAAAAAAATGAACAAAAAATAGATATAAAACAAAATTAATTAAAATTCAAAAAAATAAACAAAAAATATTTAAAAATATAATTGCAAAAATATGAATCAAAAATTTCTACAGCTACAAAAAGCAAAAATTCACTCAAATATTTTCAGCAAACGATGAAATTTGATGGAAAAATGTATGGTTAACTGTATTCTATGCAATGTTTTACAGTTTTATTTTTATGAATGAGAGTTATAGTTATGTTAAAAGAGATAAAAAGTAATACTTAAAATACATGGACACAGTTCAATTTTTGAATTTTATGGGTACGTACGATATAAATTTAGGCAGATGCAAATGTAGTTTTGGACGATAACACAGAAACACCACTATGTAGAAGTTTATTAGCACAGATGTCTCGTATACAGAAATATTATGAGATACTAGTTGATTTGCACCTTGGAAAAAGCACGTGTGGTCTATGATCTCTGGAGAGAATCGACTTGGAGAGGGGGTAAGGAAAGGATGCGTAGGCTATTGCGCATCCAATTAAAAACTGTTTTTACTTTCTAATAATGAAATAATGTTTTTTGTTAATGTAAAATTGAAAACTCAAATGGGACACAGATTCGTAATGATACATTAAATAAGATTTAGATTTTTTTTAGAACTTTAATATTACAAAAAAAATCCTTGATTACAATACGATAAAATTTCGGTTCGCCTGAAATGACTCATCGCATCGGCACGAAAAATGGACACTTTAAAATTTTGATATATTTTAAAGTTTAATGTATTTTGTTCTAGTGGACCGATTTTGATGATTTTTAAGCAATTTTTAGCTAAATTATTTGACTTTTTAGTATCTCTTTCTAAATTAAAAATGGAAGTTTCCATCTCTCAATTATACGAGGGAAAACAAAATATTGATATTTTGGTGAAAGTTTAAAACATCCTGTGGAATGTTTTAACAAAGCAAGGAATTTAAAAATTATTTTATCATCTAGATACGTCTTTTCTCGATATTTTGCTTTTTGAATCATCTCAGTAGCTTTATTTTTGTTGGAGATATTCGCTTTTCAATAAGACAGTAACGGTATACATCAATTTTAGCATTAATTTTTTGGGTCTTCCTCAACACACAAAAACACATAAAATAGTGTTTATTGTTTTTGTAATGTCACTGTCATACAAAAGTAATATTATTATTGTTTATTGATGTTTACTCTAGTAGAGATGATTTTAAGTTCTGAACTATCGGCTTTTACTACTTTAATTGATCATGGTAGAGATCTTTTGGACTTAAAACCATATCAGCTAAAGTAACTACCCAACAGACAATAATAAGACGATAAATACGAAGAAAAAATACACCTAAATAATAAAATTATTTTTACATTCCTTGCTTTGTTAACGTACTCTACAGGGTATTTGAAATTTTCACCAAAATATCAACATTTTGTTTTCCCTCGTATAATTGACAGATGGCAACTTTCAGTTTTAATTTAGAAAAGGATATTAAAAAGTCAAATAATTTAGTTACAAAATGCTTAAAAAATCATCAAAATCGGTCCTCCAGAGCACAATATATAAAACTTTAAAATACATGAAAATTTTAAGGTGCCCGTTTTTCGTGATGGGAGTGTATTATCAATTACCTTATGAAGCAAAATAAAACACTAAATCTCCACAATACACCAAAACACTTTTACTTTTACACTGGACGCGCGTATCGCTAACCATGTTTGCATCATTAGCAGATGATTTTAAACTAAAGTACAATCTACAAGTTGAGCGTTTATATACTCGCCCAGTGGGCACCGAGTGGGCGTGGCAAAATCTAGCCAACCGAGTCAGAGCCCACTGAGCGTAACAGTTAGATTTCCGCCACTAGAGTAGTAGAAACAAAGAACTTGAAGGAATTGGACCGTTGTCTCTGTTCATACTATCTTTACATTGATTAATTCTGATGCTTTCATATGCATCTAATTGCCTGTAATTTGAGACTTGTTTAATTAATTTTAAATTATTAAGATCTATACAATGTTCTTTATCAACAATATGTTCGGCAACGCAAGATTTATCCGGTCTGCCATATCTTATCTGAGCTAAATGTTCTAATAATCTAATCTAACTGTTACGCTCAGTGGGCTCTGATTCGGTTGGCTAGATTTTGCCACGCCCACTCGGTGCCCACTGGGTGAGTATATAAACGCTCATCTTGTAGATTGTACTTTAGTTTATAATCATCTGCTGATGATGCTAACATGGTTAGCGAAACGCGCGTCCAGTGTAAAAGTAAAAGTGTTTTGGTGTATTGTGGTGATCTGGTGTTTTATTTTGCTGTGTAACACCAAAGGTTCCAACCCTCAACTGTAATACTTTATGAAGTCTTGGCAAAGTAGTTTTTTGATATAATTTTTTGAATGACAATATAGTACACACGTTTTCCTAATTTCCCCCTCTTCCAATGATTTTTTAAAGAAAAAGAAGATGGTGGTGGGGAAACGCGCACACTTGATTGGTTTTACCATGGTTTTACTTGGTTTTACCTGGGGTTACGACGTCTTTAAAGGAGGACCGCAGTTGATTTGAGTGGTCGTAATCTGCAGGAGGCCAAACAACATCGCGAAGGGGGCCAGGAATGATATCGTTATTACCTGTGTCACACGAATTTCACCAATTTTTCGTTAATCAATAATCTATCTAATTTCTCTTTTTTGTATAGAAAAGATATATATGGAAATTTTATAAACAATAACTATACAGGGTGGTCCGAACTTCGGCAGCATATTCTGCATATAACTTCGGCAGCATATTCTGCAGATAAAAATAAGTAAAAAAGATCGATTAAATATATATATTAAAATGCTTAGTTTCGGAGATAGAGGTTGTAGAAATTTTATTGTTATTTCAATTTTTTCAAATAATTTATGAAGTAACGTCAATATTTGGATGAAAACTGGTGTCTGGCAGTTGTAGAGGGCGCCACCTACATATTTTTAACTAGTTTGAAGAATAATAACTTTTCGTCCTTACCTGTATACAATTGAGAAGTAAAAAAATATACATTTACGACGTTTTTTACGTAAAAAAGTATCTTGGTAAAAATCGTTCTCGAGATATTTGGAATCGAAATTATCAATGCCTATAACCATTGACATAAATAATTAAACATGTTGACTAAATAGTTACTAGACTGAAATCATACATTTGAAATGTTTTTGTGTCAAAAGTTCAACAGAAACTGTTTTATCATTATTTTTTCGCAAAATTAATCAAGAGACGTTTTTTATGTAAAATGTCATGGAAATGTATATTTTTTCACTCAATAATTTTATGCAGGTACGGACGAGAAAAGTTATTATTCTTCAAAACCGTTAAAATACATGTAGGTGGCGCGGCGCTCCTACAAAAAGGAGTCATATTATCATTAAAAGCAAATTTCTCATGTCAAAAAAATCCGAGGCACGAATTTTCATCCAAATATTGACGTAACTTCAGAAATTATTTGAAAGAAATCGAAATAAAAATGAAACTTCTACACCCTATATCTCCGAAACTAAGCAATTTTAGGACATACATTTATAAGAAATTTTTTACTCATTTTTATCTGCAGAATATGCTGCCGAAGTTTCCGGAATACAGTTCGGACCACCCTGTATATCAAGATGTTTGTGTATATCATGTTGCTAACGTATACAAGGTAATATATTTTTATTATAACTATACATTATTTAATAATTTTTCATTTTATATGGAAATAGGCTAAAAATCATTTCAATAATTGATACCTATAAGATCAATCATGTGTTATACAGGGTGTTTCAAAACAAATGCGAAAAACTTTAGGGGGTGATTCCTTTTTCAAAATAAAGGGTAGTTTGCTTTATAAACGTTGGGTCAAAAGTCAACCATTAGGGAGATATCGCGGTACAAAGATGGCGGAAAAATAATGTTTTTATTTTTTATCTTGAAAACGAAAAGAGATAGACTAATGAAATTTTATGGAAGCATTACTTTTATGGAAACACACTTTCAGGTAATTTTTTTACTTTTTTAAAATCAGTGGAAAGGGTTGAAATAAACTACCCCTATCATTCTTGTTAACGAAATTTAAAGAAAAATCTTATCAAACACATGCAAATGCTTTAATTTCGATAGTTTAGTTTGTTTAGAAACTTTTTTACCTCTTGTGTTTTTTTGATAAAACTCACCGATTGGAAATTAAAAAATAAAATGTAAAGCATTACATGTCAGGACAAAAAACATTTTTAGATTAAGAATCTAGTGATAATAACGATAATAATAATCATCTAGATAATAACGTATTGCAGTAGAGTAATGTCAAATAAAATAATATTAGGAACATCCTAAAAGTAACAGCGGCCGACTAGATTTTTCTTCTAAAAAATTACAGCAGCCCACTAGGTTCTTTATCAGAAAATGTTTTTTGTCCTGACATGTAATGCTTTACATTTTATTTTTTAATTTCAAATCGGTGAGTTTTATCAAAAAACACAAGAGATAAAAAAAGTTTCTAAACAAACTAAACTATCCAAATTAATTTTTTGCATGTATTTGATAAGTAATTTTTTTAAATTTCGTTAACAAGAATGATAGGGGTGAGTTTATTTCAACCCCTTCCACTCATTTTAAAAAGTGAAAAAATTACCAGAAAGTGTGTTTTCATAACAGTAATGCTTCCATAAAATTTTATTAGTCTATCTCTTTTCGTTTTCAAGATAAAAAAGAAAAACATTATTTTTTCGCCATCTTTGTACCGCAATATCTCCCTAATGGTTGACTTTTGACCCAACGTTTATGAAGCAAACTACCCTTTATTTTGAACAAGGAATCACCCTCTGAAGTTTTTCGCATTTGTTTTGAAACACCCTGTATATCAGAATCAGTAGTGTTAACACTGTTTTTAAATGTAAAATATTTGCAATCTATCTGATATATCCTTTTTCTAAACGAAACACAGGGTGAGCCTTAAATAAGTGCAAATATTTTTAGAAATAGTATATTTCTACCCCAGAAATAACTTTATGAGGTTTTTCGAAAAATATTTTTTTTTTTTTAATTTTTATTTATTCTTAATAATATATGGCGACATGGGTAGTACATTAAATTTATAAGAAAGAAAATTCAGAAAAGATCCAGTGGTTTTCAAAATTTAAGCATAAAATCATTTTTTTTTATTTTCAAAGTAAAATAACTCCGTTATTTTGAACTTATTTGGAAAACGATAAAGACAAAATAAAATATGTTTTTTTATCGATATCTACCAGCCCTGAAAATATTTCAACTTATTTAAGACTCACACTGTATAATTTAATATTTGATCATATTTTTACTCACAAAAAAAAGAAAATTTTGAAATAAATTATAAACCTATTTCAGAAATTGACGTTAAATTTGAAAATGTTTATCAAACTAATCTCGTGTACTAACACAATATGCATAAACTGGAATAAACGTTTCCTAAATATGTTTTCCATTGAGCAATTTGTTGACAAAATAAACAAATCTTTACAATTCGATCAAAATATGACGTGCTCATGTTTTAAAATGACATAGAAGTACTCTGGAATTTAATTCAAAAATATATAAATAATAAATCGTAAATAAAACAAAATCATTATATTCTTGTAAGAATTTAGCATGATTTTTAAAGAAGGGACCAACAAAAAAGGAACAGAAAACTCCATTTAATAGGTAATTTAAATTTTTTTAGAAAAAATATCTGACTTACCTACGTATCCGCTTCTTCTAGTCTCTTCCTCTTCTAACATGCGTAACACAGCGGAATTTTGTAAATTTGCTGGTTTTCCTGCTTGAGGATTATAGAAGTTAACCCTAGAAACAATAGCAATTTTCAAACTTTATACAACAACAAGTTGAACTAACAATATAACAGTCTGTGTTTCCGTACTATCATTGAACATCATAGCAAACTGAACAATAACATAACAATCCAGTCAAAATAGACAATAAATATAACGTACAAAATAATCCATAGAACATGCTGTTTGTAACAGAAGTGCGTCTGCATGTACACAAGAATCACTCAAAACTAACAGAAAAGTTTTAAAAATAATTAACTACCGTTGCTTAATTACCTTTCGATTGCGGGAGCCATTTTTCAGAAAACCAGCTATCACAGACGAGAAAAAAATAAATGTAATTAGTGAAATAAATTAATTTTTCACAAAATTATCTTCGATTTATGAGCTAGGTAGCTCTCGAGTCAGCGCTATGTCTTTCGTTGTCGGAATTGTATTAAACGAATTTTCAAGCTCTACAAATAAGTAGAATGATCACATGGTAAAAGAAAAGTCGACAAAATATTCATCGGTGAGTTATTTTCGCATTACTCAGTGATTCACGGAGACCGAAATAATGATTGTTGCCGATTGGATTTGGGATACAAAAAAATAACACTAAAGTGACTTTGGTGTGTTTACCATTAGTTTTTACGCATTATAATATCATAGGTTGTGGTCAGTGTGTTTATATCACTTATATGACGTATACAATAAGTGTTGTTACGAATAATACATAAAAGAAAACAATCATTATTTAGAAAAAATACGATTAATTTTGATATCCCACATTTAGATGTTCTATGATTACTGCGTTTAGGAAAGTCAATATTGTCGAACTAATTTAGATATTTAAGCATTTAACGACAATATAAGTTTAAAAAACCCAATGTCAAACTTATGTCAATCTTCATACAGGGTGAGTCGGTGTTTCGACCCCAGAACAACGTCTATGAGGGTTTTTATACAAAAAAATTGAAAATTTAAAAATTTGGAATTTTTTAATTTTTTTTTGAATTTTTAGTTAAAAACATAATAACATACATAATATAAGCAGTAGATTAAATTTTAAGAAAGAAAACCCAGAAAAGATCCAGTGGTTTCCAAATTTAAGCAAAAAATCTTTTTTTTTGAAATTTTCAAAGTAAAATATCTCGGTTATTTTGGACTTATTTGTAGCGATGGGAACTATCGAATGAATTAGACTATCGAATGGTTACTGAATGAATGATTTCAACTATCGAATGGTTTTATTCGAATAAAATCATTCATTCATTTGTATATTAAAGCATATGTGACAACCTCGCCGTGCTACTAAATGGTTATCGTTGCGCCACGACTATCGAATGCTTTTGATAAATGAAATTTAGTATTCGTTTGATTTTTGTGTGCGTCAGTGCATTATTAGTTCTTCCAAATTTTTATAACTTCGCCTTGTAAATACTGTGCTATTTTTGCGTTTATTAAAATATTTAAAATACTAAAATAGTAGTTTTTTTTAATTGACGATTGCGTGCGAAGTGGTCAAAATTTTTCCGAAAATTTGTGTGATTTTCCGTAGCCCGATCTTTCAATTATTTAATTTTATATGGTATATTATGGTTAGGTTAGATTGCATTTTTTAATGGGAAATTTTGAGAAGTAGCAATTTTTAAGAGAGATGAGATGAACTTACAATTAATTTTAAAAATACATATTTGTATTTTAGATGTTTTAATAATATGAATTAGTTGAACTTAATAATCATATTTAAGTAATGTGGTTAAGTAAATGGTTATCAAACTCAAATTTTGGGGTGAGAAAATTAAATTGAAAGTTTTACAGGTGCCAATTTAAAAAAAAAGTTAACAATGTTTGTATTTTGTTTATGCTAATTCTCTGACATGTGTGCCTCATGTAGTTTTTTGCGAAGAAATATTTCATTTATTTTTTAAAGTAAATGCCAGTAAAAGTAAATATTATTTTTAAATAGTAATATAAAGTAATAAAAAGTGATATAAATAATTTTGATTTCTAATTTTTTATTTATATTTTCCTTCCATTACACTGCATGCTTAGAAAATTAATAAATGTTTATATTTCATGATTTTAAAACTTGTTGTTAATATAACAAATTAGTTCTGTAATTATTATTATTTAATAAACCAACGTTGCCATTTAGAGACTATATTATAGGATCTAATATAAATACTTTTGACTTCTATTTGTTGTTTATATTTTGTTACTACTTAAAAAATGTTTGTATTATTAAATGATTTAAATTTTGTTGTTAATAGGTATAACAAATTATTACTGTTATTATTATTTATTAAACCAGTCTTTGCTTAAAAACATTAAAAGTCATTTTCCTACATCCAAAATAAAAAGTATTATTGCAGTGTAACAACAGAATATCAATAAAAAAATGAAAAACATATAGACATACTATCCCTAACTAACTAATGCTAAAGAATAATATTCTTTGCTAATACCAATTAATACGAATATATGGCAACAGCGCCCTTCATAATGTATTTTCTGTGTAAATACTAGCACCTCAATAAAAAAAATAATGTGTCCTTATCTTTATTTGACTCCGCAAAAAATCAAAGATGCCGGCTTCTTTCATTGCCACCGACCGCTGTCGGGTTTCTAGGAAAGAAACCTATGTCGCCGGACGACAACTAAAATCCAGTTTATATTTTATTAAAATCGATCCTGACGAATAAATGAATTTGATAAATGAATGGTTTTTGCTGCCGAATTACTAGAATACAATATTTCAAGGCAGATGACGCATCTATTCGATAATTTTTATTCGAATAGTTTTCGACGAATGTTTTCTTACTAGCTATCGAATTATTCGAATGAATTGCAACTATCGAATGTTTCGATAGTATTCATTCGATAGTTCCCACTACTACTTATTTGAAAAACGGTAAAGAGAAAATATGTTTCTTTTATTGAGATTTATCAGCCATGAAAATATTTCCACTTATTTAAGACTCGCCCTGTATATTATCAATAATTTCTTATTTTCTGATTTCTGCCTACGAATCTCTGAGACCAAAGAAAAACTCTATTTACCTGAAAAAAGACACTGATATACGGTAATCGCAAAATAATTTCGGATGCACGTGATCGAATTTGAGTGACAAGCGACGGCGACAGCACTGCCAGATTGTGATAGATTTATGCGATGAATCTTAATGTAAAATTGAGAAACAATATATTTATTGAATTTTTTAAATATTTTATTTTTAATTTAATAATTAATTGATTTATTTGTTTTATATTTTACTTATTAGATATTGGTAAAAACTATTATAGTCCATTATAAAAATTATTTTAAGCATTACTCTGGGTTATTACTTAATTTATTTATTTTTTGATGTGCAACTTAAAACACCACATGTGGTAATAAGAAGTAAGAGAGGGTCCCATTAATGCACAAACTAATAATCACAGAATTTACTAAAAACTAACGTAGAAATATCTTTGAAAGTGGTATAAATGTGCTTACCAATCAAACTTACTTCTCTGACTGCATTCAAGGATAATAAAAGACCTTTATTGTCATGTTCTTGTTCAAAATAGTTTATCATGGAAGCTACAAGCTCTTTGCTTCGACTGTTTATATGCTTCGGCATATTTTCAACACACAATTTCAAGAAATGCAATAAAAAAACTCGAAAATTTAGTTCTTAAAGGAACTATGTGTGCGTAAAAGTACAATTATTTTTAAAAAAAGACTATGAAAATAGCAAAATAAACTAAAAATAACACTAAATCACCACAATACACCAAAACACTTTTATTTTTACACTGGACGCGCGTTTCGCTATTTTATTTTGCTGTGTAACACCAACTATATGAAAATAGACAAAAAACGAGAATAAGCCACGAAGATTCAACAACAATACGATATTGACGATATTACAAAATGACTGACATTATGATAATTGTCAAATATTAAACAACAACGTTGCTGAACACGACGCAATGTGACCAACATAGCGATAATAAAATACGTTTTAAAGTAATTTTTACAGTTTTAATTTAAATAAAATATCTGTGACAATCATTTGCTCTATAAAGTAAAATGCAGAGCTGCTCGGTATCTTAAATTATACAACAAATTTAAACATTGTTGCCAAAATTTAATTTAGTCAGGTTTATAGGCTTTAATGTTAATTTTGATATGATTGATGACGTGCATCGCAAATTGTTTTGGAATTACCATAGATATTGGAGAATATTGTAGAGCTTTTTGGGAACGCTGGGTTACACTCAAGAACAGTTAACGTAATAGGACTGCTCATTCAGCCAAAAGTGTCCGCCAGGTGCATGCGAAAACTACTCGCTTTGTGACGTCATTGTAGTCCTTGTCATGGTTATTAGTCCTTGTCCGGCAACCAATAATACACACACGTGCATTATTGGTTGCCGAATGCAAAACGTTCTTTATTTAGTTTATTTATTTAAACACCTTATATGTATGCAGTATAGAAAATTAACTGTATAAATCGTATTAAATAATCGGATAATGCATTTTTAAGAACAGCAGTTCCCAGCATCACCTTTTACAAGCATTTAGAGCTTTTTAGAGTACTTCCATATTTTGCTTTAAAATAATTAATAAACAAAATCGTGGGCACTTAGTAAGCACTTTGTCACAATCCACAACACAAAATGAACGTATTTATACACTCTATAGCTCTAAAAACTTTAAAGACATCTTTTTCAGATTTAAAATTGACAAAATAATTAACTTAAAATTTCTCAGCTGTTATTTTTATAAGTTTACCATAGGCAACTAATAATACACACTATCATGACAAGGCTTTAACAAGGACTACAATGACGTCACAACTTTCAGCTGAAGCGCGGGAAGAGGCGAACCTATGTCTTATGAGGATGAACAATCCTATTAGTTTACCGTTCTTGGGTTACCCTGTATATAGCCGACAATTTTATTAAAAAAAAATCACTTACCCTACAGCTCCATTAGACAAAATCTGCTGTTCTCTCGAAATCACTTCTCGGATATTCTGATCAGAATATAAACCAATAGGCGAGTTGAACTGTTTGTTCACCAACTTTGGTTGATTCGGCATTTTTTCTTATTTATTTCGCTACTAAACTACCTGAAACAAAGTACTTAATTATTATTAATTATTGATGGAGAATTTTTATTTTATTTATTATTTTATTAGGCGGCTTTTAACTTAAAATACTTGGACCACATCACCACATGGACAAAATTGCATACTTTTTCTAATGTAATAGTGTAAATCTAATGTAAAAATATTTGCACTTATTTAGAGAGATGTAGAATGTTTAGGAGGGGAGTTAATACCGCGACCTTACATAGGTATCTATTGTGTGTTCCCCTTTCTTGAGTTATAACAAGTTATAACTCATCATACAGTCTCAGGGCTTTAACAACAGCCAGTATCTGAGACGGCTCCACAGAGGCCAGCTCTCCATCCTCGACATCAGACGTACCAAGGTTCATGGCACGAATGGTCGTCGTCTCGGCGCACTCAGTGATAAGGTGTTCTGGAGTTTCCCCATTTTCCCCACAGAATCTGCATTCGCCGTTGTTTCTCAGCTTCAACCTACTGAGGTATTCGTAGAGGACACAGTGTCCTGTTAGAAACCCCGTGATAATCCGAAGATTGTTTTTACTTAAATCAAGGAAAACCTTTTTCTCGGTCGTAAGTTCTGAGGAACTTTTTCGAGACCGTCTTAGACCGTTGGAGGACACCGATTCCAAGTTACGGATGGAGTCTTCCAGATTCTTCAGTTCCGCTTTCAGTTGGTTCCCGTTTGGAAAAAAGAACGGTTCTTGTCCAGTTAGTGGAGTGTTCGCTCCTTTTCTAGCTAGATCATTTGCTTCTTCATTGCCTTCTATCCCTTGGTGAGCAGGCACACAGAGTAGGAGGACTTTATTTTCTTTGCCTAATTTGTTGAGCTTCTCTAGACATTCTTTGACCAACTTCGAATTGATGGTTACTGAGTTGATCGCGTTTAGTGCTGCTTGAGTATCGGATAGGATGGCAATTTCCTGTTTTCGATAGTTCGTATCTAAGATAAATTGTACGCCTCTTTCGATAGCGCGTAAATTTCTGCCTGAAAGATACTGGCGGACCATTGCATTGGTTCGGAGTATTTAGTTTACGGCCCAAATTGACACAAACAGACGCAAAATCTTTAATTCGATTTTTAAAAATAGTGCTTGCTGCTACATTTTTCTGTCAAATTTTTGTAATTTTATCTAAGTATGTGTTTGTGAATAAAACGTATGCTTATTACATTCTCATTTAATTGCATATCTTATCCCTGTAAGCACATTAAACATCTTGGTTGTATAAAATGTTCCCTAAAGCCTAAAGCACAAAATAAATGACTATTGTAAACTCCTGGTACTTTGTACCAAACAACTAAAAAATGGTTGTATTTTAAGAACGACTTCCTCTTTCTAATATGATCGCAATTTCACTTAATAATAATCTTTAAAATTGTTGCACAGACATATGGAAGTTGTATACAGATTTTGATTTTGGCTAGATCGAAAACTAATCAGTTGTTTACGAAGTAATGTGTTTGTTTAGAAAACCAATTTTCTTGGTGTATTATTACAGGAAAGTGCTTATTATTATTGCATTCTCGACTATAAAAGATATTAATAACTAGAATCGAAGGTTCGACTTTTGTTTAGCTGCAATCAGTTATGTAAGTGCTTTTAGAAATTGAAAGTCACGAAACTTTTTCTTCGAAAATGTATAATTTTTTTTTTCAGTTTTTCATTATAGACCTTTTTCTAAACATACACAAAAAAAGTTCTTTGGGAAGTGTACCGTTTTCATTTATTGATAAAATATTGTAAAATATAGCAAGATGAATGATGTTTTGAAAAGTGTATAACATGTAAAGCAGGAACATGCATTTCCGCAGAGAAATTTTTTGATTTTTTATTTGGGAAGGCTTCTATACAGGGTGGTCCGAACTGTATTCCGGAAACTTTGGCAGCATATTCTGCAGATGAAATAAGTAAAAAAGTTCGTATAAAATGTATGTCCTAAAATGCTTAGTTTCGGAGATACAGGGTGTAGAAGTTTTATTTTTATTTCGATTTTTTCCAAATAATTTCTGAAGTAACGTCAATATTTGGATGAAAATTGGTGTCTGGGAGTTTTTTGAAATGAGAAATTGAATTTTGATATCAATATGACTCCTACTTGTAGGGGGCGCCACGTACATATTTTTTAACTGGTTTGAAGAGTAATAACTTTTTGTCCGTACCTGTATAAAACTACTTTTAAACTATATAAACTAAATATACATTTACGACGTTTTTTTGAGTATAAAAGGTGCCTTGGTAGAAATCGCTTCGAGTAATGGTTCTCGTGATATTTGGAATCTAAATTATCAATACCTGTCATCATTGACATAAATTAAACATGTTAACTAAATAGTTATTAGACTGAAATCATAAATTTGGAATGTTTTTGTGCAAAAAGTTCAACAGAAACTGCTTTTTCATTACTTTTTCGAAGAAAAATTTATGATTAATTTTAAAAAATAATAAGTTCCCAAATTTATCATTTTTCAGTCAAAAAACTATGCAAGGTGTGCCAGAAATATGTGCAAGTATTATAACTGGTAGTATAGTTCAACCTCAGGAATACGCCTATGAGGTTCTTTTCGCAAAAAAAAATTTTTGAAAATTCGGAATTTTTTGAAAAAAATTTTGGAAATTTTTTTAGTTTTTAGTTAAAAAACATAATTTCTAGATAATATGGCTACATAGATAGTAGATTAAATTTACAAGAAAGAAAATCCAGAAAAGATCCAGTGGTCCTCAAAATTTGAGCAAAAAATCATTTTTTTGGAAATTTTCAAAGTAAAATATCTCCGTTATTTTGAACTTATTTGAAAAACGATAAATAGAAAATATGTTTCTTTTATCGAGATCTACCACCCCTTAAAATACTTGCACTTATTTCTGGGACACCCTGTATACTTGACATGCTTATTTTTTGTCAGTAATGACATGTATTGACTATTTCCATTCTAAAAATATCTCGAAAACGGTTGATCGTAGAGATTTTTACCAAGAGATATTTTTTACGTAAAAAATCACGTAAATGTATATTTTTTCACTCAGTATAGTTTTATACAGGTACGGACAAAACGTTATTACTCTTCAGAACCGTTAAAACATATGTAGGTGGCTCCCTCTACAAATAGAACTCATATTGATATCAAAATCAAGTTTCTCATATCAAAAAACTTTCAAACACCAATTTTCATCCAAATATTGACAGAAATTATTTGGAACAAATCGAAATAAAAATGAAACTTCCACACCCTGTATCTCCAAAATTAAGCATTTTAGGATATAACTTTTTTACTTATTTTTATCTGAAGAATATGCTGGCAAAGTTTCCGGAATACAGTTCAAACCACCCTGTATAATGGATTTTTTGTTTCTGTCTTTAGAAGTGATTTGAGCTAAACAAAAATTCACCCAAATCGAACTAATCCGAATCTACACATACAGGTTGTTAACTGGACAGTTACTTATAGGGAAACAGAATGGCAACACTGCCTATTGAGAACGCATGCACTTATAGGGTTTTCTGCCGACTCGTCCCGTCGCGTCGCGTCGTCTATCGACGCGCGGGCTGAGATTGCCATATTTCAACAATAAAGCTCTTGCCACGAGTAATAAACAAATTAACAACCTGTATAACTAAATTCGTGCGAAAACCTTAACGCAAAAATGCTCACGGCCTTAATGGTTTATTTTTAAATCATAATGAACTAGGTGGCAGTCGAAAATTTTATAAATAGCCCGAGAAATACGTAAATACTTTGAAAATCTCAGGTGCTTTGCACAGAAAACCTAGGACATATATATATAATGGTTATGGTGAACTATGCCAGAAAATTTAATTTGGAATACTACCGATATTGTGACTTTCAAAAATATTTTTTGCTCGCTACGTAAACACAATTTACTGGAAAACAGACGTGTTGTCTACGTGATTAATACACTCGTATTAAAGTTGATGACGGACAAAGGTTCCAAAACTTCAAAGTGTTAGTATATTATGTTGGTTTCAATCTTGATTAACTGTAATGTTCTAAAAATATACTACTGTCAAAATTATTTATGATTCTACTTAAACTTAGGGTTTCCATACGTCTGGATTTACCCAGACATGTCCGGATTTTAAAAGAGTCCGGGGCGGTCCGGCCCGGATTTGAAAAAGCGTCCGGAAAACCTGACCGTAAAAACAATTTAACTTAGTAAAATATTTTATTTTTCAATACTAACAAAACAGAATATATGTGTATCGGAGGAGAACAACAAGATCTAATACTAGAAGAAGTGTGTTTTTATAACAGTAATGCTTCCATAAAATTTCATTAGTCTATCTCTTTTCGTTTTCAAGATAAAAAATAAAAACATTATTTTTCCGCCATCTTTGTACCGCGATATCTCCCTAATGGTTGACTTTTGACCCAACGTTTATAAAGCAAACTACCCTTTATTTTGAACAAGGAATCACCCCCTGATGTTTTTCGCATTTGTTTTGAAACACCCTGTATAATAACCATCATCAAGAGTATAACCACGTACAGCTGTGAAGTGTGGCCAATTAAGGAAACAACAAAACGAATGCTGGAAGCTACAGAGATGGATTTTTGGAGAAGATCAGCAGGCAAATCAAGACTCGAACGAATAACTAATGAACGCATAAGAGAGATTATGGAAGTTAAACATATAATCACAGATATATAATAGTGGACGAGATAAAGAACAGTCAACTCATATGGTAAGGGCATGTCCAAAGAATGGCAGAAATAAGAATCCCAAAGCAAATTATAAATTGGAAACCTGCAGGAAGAAGAAAACCGGGTAGACCGAGAAGAAGTTGGCAGGAAGGGATTGACATGTTTATGGAAGAAAGTAGAAAAGATCTTTATTTTTTCAGATAACAAAACGTGATTTGGCATGTTAGTATATGACATAAATTAGAATTGATTGACGTATTCATTTGTTTTAGTCACTTCCTGTTTTACCGGAAATTACTACAACTTTTGATTTTTACTTTATTCGATAGAAAATAAC